TAAAAAACCCACATACATTAGCAAAAAGTCTCCAGTATGCACAGACAGATACAGACATAACACAACATTAAAAGTACAGAGATAAAACAAATAAAACAGTAAACAAATGTCACTGTGAAATCGATCGACTAAAACAGTTTCAAAACAAGTGCAAATCATTAAATCATTAAAGTGCTCTGTTCAAACTGATAACAGCTTGTGGAAAAAATCTGTTAGCGTAACGAGATGTCCTGCATCTCAGCGAGCGATATCTTCTACCAGAGGGAAGAAGCTGGAACATGGCTTTCCCAGGGTGGCCAGAAGAGTCATTCAATCCTAAGAGCTTTGTTTAAAAGTCTGGATTTCAGTGTTGTGCGTGAACGAGTTCAAAAGAACGCGTTCATTGAACACGCTCAGTTTTTCGTGAACGTTGAACTGAACGCAACACATTTTTAAAAAAAGAACTTGAACGTGAATTAGTTCATTTTATGTGTCATGAACGGCAGACATCACTATGAACGTTGGAATCTGTTTTCTCTTTTGAAATGCAACGAGAGAAAGTTCCTCCCTCCTGTATTCTCGCACTTTTCCCGCTGAAATCTAAAAATTCCTACGGTTTCCACCGTCTGTGAACGCACCCCGACTCTGTGTTGCGGTGCGGCGCTGTGAGCTGGTGCTTTTCACATGTGCCCGAGTCGTGATGAAAACACAGGGTGAGTTAGCGACAAAGTTTACACCGTTTACATTTGACATAAAGTATAAACACACGCACTGCAGCGCATTACTGTCTGTAGTTTATGAGCAGAGATAGAGCAACTCCGTTTTGCTCCCATTGAAAACCATGTAAATCTTGTCTGTTTTGTAGTCAAAAGGCTCTCCTCCTGTGGATGTACAGGAGATATATATATATTAGCTCGTAGTGTGAAAAAAATATTTATTGAAGTATCTCACGAAAAAAGTTAAATGAACTGAACTTTGAACTAGTTCAGAAAAGCTGTGAACTGGCACAACACTGCTGGATTTATAAAGAACCTCCAGAACAGGAAGCTCACAGCCCACGGTCCTCTTTGCAGAGCGGAGCACCTTGTTTAACGCTCTCTTTTCTTTATCTGTGATGTTTCCAAACCACACAGACACAGAACCAACAAGTAAACTCTCAATAGTGCAGCGATAAAAGTTAAGCAGAATCTTAGAGTTAGTGGTAAATTCTCTAAGTTTACGCAGAAAGTAGAGACGCTGACAAGCTTTCTTAACGACTCGGTCAGTGTTTTTAACCCATTTCAGGTCGTTAGACAGAGTTAAACCCAGAAACTTGCACTCCTCTACGATCTGCACCTGGGAGTTGTCGATAGCAACAGGAGTGTGAGAACTGCTACGACTGAAGTCGTAGACCAGTTCACATGTTTTCGATGCGTTCAACTGGAGGTTGTTAGTTTTACTCCACTGAACCACATTTTGTATCTCTGCTCTATAAGAGGATTCATCATTATCACTGATGAGACCGATGATGGTGGGCAGATTTCTGGAGGGCAGATGTCTCCTTTTAAAGCAAAGGTATATTTCTTATATTGTCATGAATGCAGAACGTAAAGCGAACTTGGACGCAGAACTGCAAAAATACAAGATTTTTTAAAACAAGTTAAGAAAAATCCAAACGGCGAAGAAACAAGGAAGAAAACACAATGGAACAGCAACAAGAGGAGAGGAGCACAGTGTTTAAATGCAACACAGGGAGATACAGGTGAGACACATGAGGATGGGGCAATCAACTGAACAGACAGGAAGTACGCTAAAAAAACAAAGACAAGAGAACCAATACATCAAAATAAAACTTTTGAATAGTAATTAAATCAATGTCATGACATGAATTAGTTTTGACAATTACTCTGGTCTAAATCAGTATTTACAATTGCACTGCTGAGTTTGCAGTTGGTCATTTTTTTAATTGGGAAGAAAAAAATCAACCTCTCCCTCTTGTGGTTGCATAGAATTTTTGTACCCTTCATGTTTCACCATACTCAGCTTTACTCAGTACTTAAGATATTACATACATTGTCAAAATTTAATGACAACCTAAATAGTCTAAGTATAATTTTGGCCATCATATTTCTTCTTTAATAAAAATACAGAGTCGTCCCCACAGTGTTGCTTGAGCCGTTTTTTTATTCCATATTCCCAGTGCTGTGTATGGAGGCGGTGTAATATCAATGGAGCTTGTGTTGTAACAGTGCAAGAGTGTAAATACTAGGAAAGTGTAAACGGCGTATGGTTACTATGGTGACAGGAATGTGAAAGGACATACTGTACACCCCACTCACACGTGTGTAACCTGAGCTGAAGGTCCACCGTTGTCCCATTTACCAATAGCCTGATATACACTTAAGCAAATAAGTGAAGATGTCCTGAGTGACTCCGCCATGTTGTCCAGCCGCTCAGCAGGACGCCTCATGCCACAGAGGGCTCTTCAGATCTGGGGGGTTAGAGACCGGCAACAACTATAAATCACACAACTGCTTATGCCCACCCAAAGGGCTTTTCCCCTTTTTCAAAAGTAAAAGTATGCTCCAAGGGCAGGGGTGGCAAAAGTACAGGTCTGAATGACTTAAAGCAGCATTACAAAAGATTTTATGTGAAAAAAAGTTCATATGTTTGTATCTTTGACCTTGTAGTGACCCAGAAGCTGTATATGGGGCCTTAACTTTTGATCATGGTTGTGTCTACAGTGCTTCAGTTCCAATTGTTCGGTAGGTTTGCAGGGGTTTGTCAACAGAGAAAATATCCCAAAAAAATTGATTCTATACAATATCTTTGAGACCACTGTGTTGGAGAGTAGAGTCCCCATGCTGATCAGTCTTACAGCTGCTGGGCACGACAAGGTCAAAAATGCAAAAACCTCAACTTTTTTCACGTAAAAGCTGCATTAAGCACCTTAAGGTAAAATTATAGAAACTATTATACCTCAAGTAAAATTAGTAATATCATTTCTATTCTTACTCCTGTATGAAGATGACGAGACCCCTTTTTTGCCCGACAGTGGGGTAATTTAAGTTGCATCACAAGTTACAGAACAGTAGGAATGAGGAGCATACAATAAACAAACTATATAAATAGTAAGTAATTATAAATCATCTTTATTTATATACCATTTTACAGACCAAGGTCACCCCAAGCGCTTTTCAAATGTTGAGAGTTCAGACATACTTGCATTCTCTCCACACACTGTGAAGACGGAAGTGAGACGCCGGACACATGGAGCACTCGGAGGAAACCAACACAGACACGGGGAAAACGTGCAAACTCAACACAGAAATGCCCTAGACATGGAAATGAACCCAGGACCTTCTTGCTGTGAAGCACAAGCTCTAACCACTACGCCACCGTGCCGCCCATAACAGCCCAATATTGAGTAAAGCAAAACTCTATAGCTAAAAAGAAAAAAGAAAGCCTAATAAAAGTACTTAAAAAGGTAAACACATTGGAGGTATAATTCTGTAAACGCTTGTGCAAATAAATACTTACTTGCATGTACGTAATTCACTCTAATTCAAGATTATTGAATTAATAATTAAGTGACAAAGAAACAAAAAAACATTATAAACATTTTAACATTAAAAATAAACTAATCACACTCAGTAACACTTAGAAGCATGGCTAACTACAACAGATAAATGAAATTACTGTGGTGATGATCCAGGACACTTTAACATTCTACAACATGTATGGACATTTATCAACATGTGTTCTATATTCTTTTTGTGTTTTAACTATTGATTCTCTGATCTGTGTTGGTGATTTCAATTTGTGAAGTCTCTGAGATGATGCTGTTGTGATTTAGGGCTATACAAGAATAAATTATATTGTATTGTATTGTAATAAGAAGCAGTCATGGGCATTTTAAACTATAAGGAGCAGCAAGAATAAGTGCTCCTTACTTGAAAAGTTGTCTGAAAAATAAATAATAAAGTACAGAAAATAATTAAAGGTCCCACCTCTGCTCCGGTGTTATTTCGGAGATCAGTGGATTCTGTACACTGATTTCCAAAATAACACCAGAGCAGAGGAAATCTTGTTGAATTGTATTTGAAATATGCAGTTATAATGATTTTCAGGAAGAAGAAAAAACATCTGCAGTGGAAGAATGTCCTTTTTGCCTGCAGGGCCCAAAGCCTGTTCTGCTGTTTTCACTTACAACACTGGCAACCGCTGCAGACACAGGTCATATGAGTTTGTGCTTGTCTCTATCTTGTTTTGTGGCCTCAAATAGTTTAACAACAGACTCATAGTTGCTCATTTGTGTTTATTCCACTTGGTTTTTTTTTCTTGTGGCCTCCATTAGTCAGCAGTGTTCTTATTTCATTTGATTGTTTTCTCTTTTTTTGCAAGGACGTAAATAAAAATCAAACAAATGTGCATAACTGGGTGAGAAAAGTCCACTTCAGATAAGTCCTGTTCTGTACTGCCTTCAAACAATTGTAACAAAACAGCGCCCTCGCGTGGTTAAGATAGAGAAATGCACACCACCCTCCTCCCCCTCCTCCTCCGCCTCCTCCTCCTCATCATGTCTTTATTTAGACTCTGAACAAAAACACAGACACTAAAAGACAAGACTCACATTAAAAAAAAAACTAATTCAGACAGGCGTATAAAAGACAGCTATATCAGTGTTTTTATTAAGAAGACTGATACCTCGTTTTTCTCACATTAGTAACGTGTAATAAATAAATATATATACTTTATTACAAAATTCTGCTGTGAGAATGAAGCGCAATGCGAGGCCAGTGCTGACCTTGCCTGATTTTTTTGTTTCTGTTATATCCAACAGTTTGACACAATCCTGGTTTGTTGTATTCACTGCTACACAGTCTGAGCTCCATAACAAAAGCCAACGTATAAACTACAATCACGTATTCGAGACGATTTCATGATCATCTTGAAAGGCCCCATCCGAATAAGTTTTGGGGCCCTGTCTCTTGTACAAACACGGCTTTGGTCCATGTGCTTCTTCCAGATCATTCCTCCAATCACATCCCGCCTGCTTTTTGTGCGCTCGGGTAAAAAAGGGTGGATGCTTTTTCTGGGGAAGGGAGGAGGGATGGTCGGGAGGGTGGAGTGGTACCCGGATGCTGACTACTGGGCAGCAGCAGCGGCAGCAGGACGGTACGAGAGAGAGAGAGGAGAGAGCGCTGTGGAGGAAAAAGCATCTGTACCGCGGGAGGATAATTACGGGACATGGGCACTTTGGAGCTGGCCGTGCGTCGCGCGTAAAGAAGGCGGTGTGGGCGCAGTCTCCGTGAGATCATGAGCACATCCGGCCCCGGGGAGACAGCCACACAAGGACGAGGGGACCTGAGGATGCTCGTTTCTGGAGTAAGCCGCATATTTGACCTCTTTTGCCGCATATAAGGAAGGTACACGCTGGCCGCTGTTTGCTAAAGCGCTTCTTCTCTGATCTTCTGTTTCTTGGGAGGCAAAGGGGAGGAGGAGGGGGGGTGAGGCAAAGAAGTGAGGACCGGATATTGGAAAACCCATTCTTCTGGCTGATACTGTTGTTATTATAGATTATGATCTGGGCTATACGCCTCGCACGCATATTTGAACACACGCAGAAGAATGAAAGGTGAATGTTAAGTGTAATGTTCTCGCCTGCTTTTGGAGGGGCTGAACAAACCAAGGGGGTCCCTGGCATCGACCAGGCCATTCTGACATGGGATATTTGAGACTGTGCTCTTACAGAAATCAATGTGTGGTAAATGTTGCCTTCCTGTCCATCCAGGAATAACATCTCAGACCTGCTTCATTGAAAAGACACCACAACGCGACTCTCCGGATCTCCATTCAGGACTCCTCTATGCGTGTGTAGTTGTGGTGTGTGTGTGTGTGTGTGAGAGAGAGAGGATGCTACTTTCCTGGTTGGAGTGAGACACACCTCAGCTGCATAAGTGCATGGGAGTAGCCTGCAGGGCCCGGCTCCCATCACGAGCGGCCCCTCTCCACAGCGCGCCTCTGATCGCCTCTGGTTGCCTGTGATGCACGGCTCTACCCGATAGCTTGATCTGGCCTTATACAAATCTCACGGTGACGGACGTACGAGCCTGGTGGAGAAGGATGAGCAGCAAGGAGCTCACGATGGGGCAGTCCAGCCAGTACGTGGGCCCCTACCGGTTGGAGAAGACCCTAGGAAAGGGCCAAACCGGTAAGAGATCATTGGGCTTTTATATATCTATAGGAACTTTGGGGGCGAAAAATGCAGCAGCAGATGTAATGTTTGAGCTCTATCAGAGGGGGGTAAAAGTACTAATACTTAGGGCTGCATGGGGCAACTAACTTTTGTTTCCCTAATTAACATAATGTTCTTAGTCCCAACAGAAATAATAATAATAATAATAATTAAAGTAAAATCAATCCACATCACGCCCTTTTCATCCTTATAGAAAGCATAATTTCTGTTGTATACTTGAAAGAATGAGCCCTGTGAGTCACTATTTGACACTTTGTGCTGAGAGCTGATTGGCTGAGTGAAGGTGGGCCTGATTTGAAGATGTGATAAATACACAAATATTACCGCAAGCAAAAACAGTCAAACAACTTATAGCATTGTAGAAAGGTTCCACACTGGGACAGAAAATGACAATAAACCACACGTGTAGACCAATGTCCATAAAGTACATCATTTTGGCATTAGGAGTAAAGAGTCAAAGTAAAACGTGAAGCTGACAGATGTACTGTATACTGCAAGGTTCGGGTGACTTTGACATATCTGTGATTCTCTAACCCCCTCACATGGAAATATAACAGTTTCCTTAGCGTTTTTGCGTAGAGCTTTGCTGACAGGCCACACGACACTTACTGACATAGTGCTGCAGAAATATAATAGCTAGAATTAGTGTCATTATTGGCAATCATCCTGAGGGGCACCATAACACCATTACTTATCTCACTCTCAGCCTTTAAAGCCACACAATAAGTACCGATACAAGACGGATATCCTCTCAGACCCCTTTGATTCCTAATCTTTAAGTGGGACTATTCATTACTTGTTCAAAGGGGGGTAATGTGATAAAAAATTATAACAAATCCTTGCTGCTATAATTCCTCAAGAATTAGTGTGACCTGCTAGTCTCCTTAAATAATGATTTTACACAACACTCAACAAGCAGTGTGTTTATTACGGTACTTTCTGGACTATAAGCCACTATTTTACTTCTTCTTCAAACCTGTGAACTCTATGTAGAGATCCCGCGTTGATCTATCAGCTGTTGATCTCCAGAGCTGATGACAAGGCATGCATTCCTGCTTCTCATGCGTTTATGTGAACAGCAGAGAGCCGATACAGGGAGGGAAATGCAGGGAAATACACAAGATAGAGTTCGTGGACTTATGAGTTGGACTCCATCAAGTACTAGTAGGGACGGGACACATGTTTATTTCCCAAATAGTCTGGATTTACCAGAGGGACTTACTATGATCATCACGAGTCAACAGTGCGTTTAAACACCTCTTCATTAAATCAGGTTTACGTCTATCAGCTTTTAGCCATCAGCTGTTGGTTAAGTTTAACACAACAACATGGAAATCTGTGGCTTATATTATATATATGTGAACAAAATGTGCTTTATCTTCAAAATGTAGCTTGTGGGTTTGTATAGAAGTGCGCTTGATAATCCAGCAAATACTGTAAAGGATTTGTTCAAGTTTTTTCAAATCGTGGAGGGCGGTTCTTTCCTAATATGTGGGAAAAACCTACTGTATTCCTTCAAATCATAGAATACGTGTGTCTTGATTTTCTTTTTCATCTAAAACAAAATGACAGCTCTGTTTTAATTGAGCTTGCAGTTAGTTATACCCTGGCCTAGACTAACAAATCAATAATAAAAGGATGCAGCGATAGCCTTAAGTCTCCTCACTGACCTTTTAAATGTCAGCTCACCCTTTTGTATTTTCGCACCAAACCACATTTTCCCTCAGTAACATGTGTGTCTGTGCTCCAGGGCTGGTCAAACTAGGAGTCCACTGCATAACTGGACAGAAGGTGGCCATAAAGATTGTCAACAGAGAAAAGCTGTCAGAATCGGTGCTGATGAAGGTACAGTGTTTGTATTATATTATCGCTAAAGCAGAGTTTGTGTCTGCAGGGAAAGCCTCTGAAACGCGCTGGAAGTTAGAAAAGTGGAGTGTGTGGGCAGAGATTTTTGTGAAACCCAAACAATAGAGATGATTTGGTCATAGTAATTAGGAGCTCAGTTGTTTGTGGCTATAGCTCAGCAGTAAGTAGGCAGGCAGGTCCTCACAATTATGCATTGTATGGCTTATTTTGTGGTACAGTTGATATATTTATTGTGTAATCAGAAATGAATCATATATATATTTAATCTCTGTTACATCAGATTTAATGCACGCAGTTAAATATTGTATTATTCTGTGTTATTCAACCTGCAGATATGTTTAGTTTAGCTTAGCAGGAATACATCTGCATTGGGCTGTTTGTGATTGTGCCTCACAGCAAGATCCTCCAGGTGCTCCGGTTTGCCCTACCACTAAAAACATGTACAATAGGCAAGGCAAGGCAAGTGTATTTGTATAGCGCAATTCATACACATGGCAACTCAAAGTGCTGAACAAAACAAGATAGAGACAAGTCAGACAGGGCCTTAAAATCATAAATAATCACAATAGGTCTAACTAATGGGCCAAAAATTGGGCTTTCATGGAGTGATTCAAAATGGCCGCTGGGGCTGGAAAATGTGAAAAAACGCATCTGCGCATGCGTCAGCCGGCACGAGCTCCATTCATTCATTCACGGAGTGACTTCAAAAATCCACAGCGAGTAAACTAGACTGGTCCAAGAAAATTCACCCCCCTCAGCATTGACAGACACACATGTGGAACGGAGCTTTGGGCCAAGAGACAACTTTTGGTCCATCCTGTAAAGGCGTTTTCGAGAGGTCTGCCAATGCTGTATGTTAGCATTGGCAGACATATGCCCCCACTCGTCTGACAGTGATGAGAGAGTGAATAGATGTCATCACCGTGTTTTTTGGAGTGAATGTAAAATATATGGAGTCCAAAACCTTTTTAAAAGCTTTGTCTGTGAAATGAGCTATATAACTACAGATGACTTACTTACTGACAATTACATCTTCATAATTCAAGTTGCAAAAGAAAATATTTTGTGCAGAGCTGGCGGTACACAGTATTTACAGGGCTTTTCAGTTAGTCCTTTTTTAAACCTATGGGACTATGGAATGAAGCTACAGTGAAAGTTCAGTGGAAGTTCCTGTCTCTGCCCTCCACAGTAATTATATTCTGCACATAAACATTGACTGCTTTTGTCAAATCTTTTGTCGGTTTCTTGACTTTGACGCTGGAGTCAAAAAAAAAAGCTTTCTATCTGGTGTTCCCTATGCTACCATCAGAGGGAGGAGTAGAATTTGTTTAGTTTTTTTCCCTAACTGCTCTGAGCGTGATGTCATAAATGTAGAATGACATTACACTATCACAAGACTGAGACATGAGCCTTTAGGCAGAGGGGGCGGAGTTACATGTTTGTGCCAGGGAAAAAAAACCACTCCAGGTCTGTGTTTGATTAGGAACAATGTCGTAACATGGTCCTAAAGTAATTTAAATAAAGTTGATTTTGTATAAATGTCTCCTTTAATTCATCACCCGGACATATGACCCTTTGCTAGGCCCTAAATCTACTTCTAATCTAACCTAGGATCAATGCTTGCTTGACTTATCAGCTTCAATACTTTACCCATACTTACTTTTATGTCCCATTTTCCCATATTAACTCTGTCCTCTTCATCTTTCCTTTCCCTTAACCTCTTTCCACCTCTCCTCTCCCTTCTATCTTTCCAGGTGGAGAGAGAAATAGCTATTCTTAAACTTATAGAGCACCCTCACGTCCTCAAGCTGCATGATGTGTATGAAAATAACAAATATCTGTGAGTATCTCTGCTCTCCACTCTCAACTTTCTGTCTCCATCATTGCCAACTGTCTTGCCAATCTTGTCATGTGTTAAAAAAAACTCCCAAAAAAGCCAGTTTGGGAGACTTTACATGGTTTTTTGCGAAGATGTAGCTATTCAGATGTGTTGTTTTGGCAGGTACTTGGTGCTGGAGCATGTGTCTGGGGGAGAGTTATTTGACTACCTAGTGAAAAAGGGAAGACTGACCCCTAAAGAGGCCAGAAAATTCTTCAGACAAATCATTTCGGCCCTTGATTTCTGCCACAGTCATTCCATATGGTGAGTGTTGTATGTGTGGTTCTAAACAATCTGCTTAGAATGTGTTTTTTTGTACGGACGCTGTCTCAACACTTGTGTGCAGCCACAGAGACCTGAAGCCAGAGAACCTCCTCCTCGATGAGAAGAACAACATTAGGATAGCGGACTTCGGGATGGCCTCGTTACAAGTGGGCGACAGTTTGCTAGAAACCAGCTGTGGGTCAGTGTCATCGTAACTTTTCTCTTCCATTAGAATGTGACTTACACAGTGTAGCTCTCAGCCTGGGGAAGGGCCTCCTGTGGTCTTTCCATGCCGTTCCATCGACTGAAACCTTCCACATTACTCACTGTATTCATTTGGTGACTGAAGGCTGAAGTTCTCCTTTGATTAAAATGCAGCTAAGATAAATGACTATATTTGACTGTATTTAGAACAGATTCTTTTTTAGGTTTTTCCTGATTGCAAAATGTCACTCTAGGTATAAACGTAGTCAATTACTCCTTGGACTGAAAACCGTAAAAACTTTATTGTGTAGTGAACAAGTCAAAAATCTCTGAAATGTAGTAATTACTGTGTAAATTGTACAATATTTACAGACTACTTTGGACTAGTACGATCATGTGACCTTTCTTTTACCCTTCACAAACTACAGCTTGAAATATGTAAATCTTCAATTTTAAAGGTACATAGGAGGATGTTGTACTTCCGGGTGGATCATCAAGACTACTGGTCCTCCTAATTGTCAGTCATTCTGCTGATACGTGCTGGGAGTGGGATTAAGACAAGACCAGTTTTTTCCAAAAAGTGTGGAGGGCGGTTCTTTCCTAAAAATGGGAAAATCCTCCTATATACCTTTTAAGTTTGCAGAAGGCAAATAATAAAGTCAAACCAAGAATCTAATACAATCTTTAAATTGTGCCATATGTGTACATTGAGTATTTGCGTTGAGAGAATGGTTAAATACTATGTACTATCAGTTTAATGTTAGTACAGAGGCCTATCCCAGACAACATCAGACTAAAACTTTCAAGTTCATACAGTAGCTTGCTCATGCTTATAGTTTAGTTTAGTTTATTCCAAGCCGGTACAATAGAACACAAGATAAAAAGAAATACATTACGATGCTATACAATATTAACACATCATTAGAGAAAGAAAAAAAAAGAAAAAATAAACAGCTTGGAAGGGAGTGGGATGAAGACAAGCTTATTTACTAGTTATTATTGCTTATGTTTTTATCCTTGTGTTGTAGATCCCCACATTACGCCTGTCCAGAAGTCATACGGGTAAGCTGTAACTCTTTAAGTATATCGTAAAATGTGCATTCCAAATATTAAAGGTCTTTTATTCAGGGAGAGAAGTATGACGGCCGCCGCGCTGACGTCTGGAGCTGTGGCGTCATTCTTTTCGCTCTTCTCGTGGTGAGAGGATGGATCTGTTTGAAGGTTCATTCATTATTCCGCTGCTGTGTTTGTGACTGTATTTCCTTTCTGTACAAAGGGTGCCTTGCCATTTGACCACGACAACCTGCGGCAGCTTCTGGAGAAGGTGAAGAGCGGGGTGTTCCACATGCCGCACTTCATACCTCCGGACTGCCAGTCTCTGCTCAAAGGAATGATTGAAGTCAACCCCGACAAGAGGCTCACGGTGAGACACTAAAACATGTGCATTAGAGAGGAGAAAACTGCTTTAATAATTCATTCAAATGAGACTGTAGATGGAGGATGGAGTCGGCCTGTATAATCCCTCTACATGGGAACAAACCAGTCGCTACTTTATTAACACAAAAATCAACATTACTCAAACAAATGACAAAATTAAATAATTAATTGCAGCTTTTGTTATCAGCTCAATGACACTCTTAACACATATTGGTCTAGTTCCAACCATCTATTTTGGTCATAGCACCAGTCATTTTGACCAATGTTTTTCTCAATTAAAGCATTCTACACACCAAGGATAGATAATAATATATTAGATTGGTAGTTTTCAATGTCATTATAGACTATTGCTTTGGTATTTATGATATTGTCGCAAAACCTTTCTGTATTTAGAGTATATATTAATTAATGCATATATTTCAAAATCGTTCAAAAGAAAAGGAAATAAACAAATAGAAGTTGTACTTGAAACCATTAAGTTGTCAACATGACATGTATAAGTCCAACGTTGGCAGCCATTATTAAGATTCCAAATCTCAAAACCCATTGAAGGTGGTTGAAGATTGCGCCTGCGACTTTGCTCAGTAACACTGCGATCAGATCAATCAGATTCCACTGAACACAGAGAAAACATGAATCATTTTAGATTTTTAGATTTACATTTTAAAAAGGACTACATTCGTATTCCCAAAGGAAGCCACTCTCAGCATATAATTATTAGGTAAAAGTGGAGTCAGGCACAATCTGTGGGAACAGAACAGAGAACTACAGATTACAGGACACAAGCCGCTGAACAGTTAGACTTTAGGAATTCTTGATTACAATTATTGAGATTCTCTTAATGCCAATTACGGATCAACATTTGAGTACATTTGTCAGATTTTGCCTCAAGTCTATTTTTATCTGTAATCCCCAAACAGCGTCGTTCTAAAAATATGACTCATTGTGGTTAACTACACAGGACAGGGTTAATATTAGGTATTGGCAGACTTAAGCAGCCAAAGTATTTTAGGTTCTGGAAATCTACCAACCGAAAAAGGCATCTGAAAAGTGGAACGTTTATCTCCCAGGCCTTTGCTGATCCTTGTGGATGTACAGCCACATCATTCAGGGCAGGTGGAAAGAAGAAATCACCTTTTCACCCGCAGACTTAAAGGAGCGATGGTGTGGAGATAGAATCCAGTCTGTGAGAAGAATGACAGTCATTTGGCACAAACTTGTAGTGAATGAAGTGTCAATGTATTCTGAGGACACTCTGAGGACCACTTGTGATCCACGAGTGATAATTTGTGAAATAAAAAGAGTGAGAAAGTGGAAGTCTGGTCTGGCTCTGTGTGAGGAGCTCTGCTTACTGCTGTCCTCACCTTGGGGAGGACAGCACGATATTGGAAATTAGAGCGATATTCGATATGAGTGTTTAGTATTGTGATAACAATATGATTGCAATATTTTTTTCTTTCACCTAAAATTGCAATCTGCTTTGAAACGCAATAGACAAATAACAAAAACAATAATGACATTCAAATGCATATACTTATATACTTTTTTATTTGTTTGTTGTATTTGTTGGATATTGCACGCACCAATATCGCGATAACAATATTTTTTTGATATATCGTGCAGCCTCAGCTTCTATGTGTTTGCTATTGTTGCATTTCCTGTGTTTGAGCTAGGATTGATTCTCTGTATTTGCGAATATACATCTTTGTAATGACTGCTGTTGGGATTTAGGGCTATTCAATATAAATTGAATTGTATTGAAATGATTTGATTTCTGTTTCACAGCTTGAATCGATACAGAAGCATGCCTGGTACATGTAAGTAGACTTTTGCCTGTCCATGTTAGTCCCGATGCATTTGTCTGAATGACAGTCTGTGGCAGGAGTGGGCGACACGAGCCATGTCCGGAGCAGCCTGCCCCAAGGCGCGTGTGCGTGAAGAGGGTGGTGTCGGCCAGTGACCTGGACCCGGACGTCCTGGAGAGCATGTACTCGTTGGGCTGCTTCAGGGACCAGGCCAAGCTCAAGCAGGACCTCACGAGTGAAGAGTGAGTTTCTCCCATTTCAGTTGCATGTCCTAAGTATAAAATGATCAGAATGAAGATAATTGAAACATGGCCATCCACTGTTTGCTGTCTAATAGAACACATTCAACTATTATGTTCCATTCATTCTCAGACTCGCTTAAACGTAATTGATATTTATAACCTGGAGACAAAAGATCTAAATGTTGTTATTTCGAACCACTAGTTAATAATCCTGGGTAATGTTGCCCCACTTAATTATAATGTATCTTTTTTATTTCAATAACACAGCATTTTAAATCCAGACAGCTAAACAAGAAGGTGCTCTTACACAGGATAGGGGGGACTTTTGGGGCTGGTTCTTGGTCCTAAAACACTCAATTAGCAATGTTTTTCCATATCGCTCAATCACAATTTTCCATTACCTTTTTGTTTCTTATTGAAATGCATTATGTACTTGCATCCAGGGAGGAGCAAACACACGAAGTCCTGTACTTCAACCCCCTCGCTTGATTTTAGTGCACATGTCAATATTTGAAAAATTGCAGCATAAAGCTTTTTTCAATCTCAATCTTTACATTTTGGCAAAGCCCTACTCCATCATGTATCATTACTTTAGGTTTACTGCTTTCTGTACTCAACCCGAGCTGCTTCACACTGCCCACAACACACTACTAAATAATGTAACAGGATCAACAACTGAAGGTGCAAGACAAAAATCTCTTTTGGCTTTTTCACGCAAAATAATAACAAGTAGAAAGTTTCACTGATCAACCCACTGCTATTAAATTGAGTCACCTGTGCTGCATCGTCACAGCTACAGCGGCTGAAAGCTTTACATTTAGCATGTGAATTGTGTGGTATATTCAGATATAGAAGTCGGAACAAAGATTCTGAAATGCCTTAAGTCACCAGAAGGCTCCTGGAACAGCCTTTGACTCTGTGTGAATGGGACTCATGGTTCCCAACATGCAGAATATATGGGCAGAAAACTGTCCAATTTATTGTTACAGGCTGAATCATCTGTATGAACTTTTGAAAGAATAACTGCGGGTCCCATTTCAGTGAAGCGATGGCTGCATCTAAATGGATAAAAATCACCTCCTTCCTTATCGGTCGGCTCTAGATCATATACGGAATCAGGACGGAAGCGGAAGTAAATAGAACAAACTACCTATTCATGCATAAACTTAACCATTCCCATAAAATAACCCCAACCCACCATTAACCCTAACCTTAACCATCTTAATCAGACGCCTAAAACTTAACCAGTCACCACTTAAGGACTTATTAGTCTAAAACTAATTCGAAAGTATGATTGTTACTTCCGGTTTCGTCCCGATTCCGTATATGATCTAGTGCTGACCATTCCTTATCCTTCATTCCGTGCCTTTCCATTTCTTTTTTATTTTGGAGGCATTAAAAAACAAAGGTGAAAAAATGTATATATATTTTACTTGATCAAACTTGGACAGAGCCCGTCTCATAAAAGGTCAAGCACAAAGAAGAACAAGGAAAGATGAATTTCTGCTGAATTTGAAGTTGCACATTTAGGTCCCGAACTTCTTCATGTTTGATTGCAGAGAAAACCAAGAGAAAATGATATACTACCTCCTACTGGACAGAAAAGAACGCTACCCTAGCTATGAGGATGAGGATCTTCCTCCAAGGAATGACCAGGGTAAGAAAAGCATTTTTATGGAACCTGACTTTAAGCTAACCTCAGTCCTCTCAGATCCGCCCAGGAAGCGTGTGGATTCACCCATGTTGACGCGGATCGGACGCTTTCGCCCCGAGAGGAAGAGTTTGGAAGTGCTCAGTGTGACTGAACAGTCGCCCACCCCCCCTCGCAGAGCTCTGGACACCAACGCACACAGCCAGAGGTTAGTACACTACTGTGTATGGTGACTGACACGTGATACTGTGACGTACAACTGATCAAAGGCCATCCCTGTGAATATGCTCCACCGCAAACTATGAATGAGCGAGACTAGTATTGTAATGATAGTTGATCAATTTTGTTCTTACATCTTTGTCCATGTTCTCGTGTGCAGATCTCGTTCTGTGAGTGGAGCATCCACAGGGCTGTCGTCCAGTCCCCTCAGCAGCCCAAGAGTAAGACTTTTCTTCCTATCTACAACAACATTAACAGTCACATACTCGATACAAACTCACTTCTATAGAATGCAGCCTTGAAATAATGCGCATCTTTCGGCACCACAGTTTCTTCTGGAATCATCTGACCTACTTTAACATTTATGACGCAGCAGTGCTGGCGCAGTGTGCAGACTGTCCTGGCCTGCTGCCCTGATCTTTACATTACATAACTAAGCATGGCATTCAAAACAGAAAAGATATAGAGAAAAGCAAAGCCTGGTTCTCACAATTTTAAATCATATTGTGGAAATATCACTGTGTGTCACAGGGAGGCCTTTAAGGCCTGTGAGAGGATGCAACCTCTTCAATGTCTCTATTTTTGGAAACTTATAGACAGCTCCTTAATAAGCAAATATATACTGTATAATGCAGCATTGAAACTTGGCAAAGATCTCATACTCTATAGAATCAACGTGCTACAGGCTTAATTAATTAGTGTAAGTGGAAAATATTGTTTTCATATGTTCAGAGAAACACAAAAATCCAAATCTCCCCACTTTTCTTATCTTAACTTAACCTTATCTTGTTTTCATACAACGTCTTAAAAAAACTATTGAATTCGCCAACACAGCTCAGAGAATCAAACCTTAACCATAACCCAAACACAAGAAATGCAAAGCTAAAAACACACAGAGCCATTGGTCCATGAGGGGCAGATGACCAATGACCCACCGAGTTACAGTCCATAGTCTGATTATTGTAATAAACGTTAAGTCTGTTGTACATTCAGTGTCATGTATGAAAGGTTCTGAAGAGTTACCACTTCCTGTGTTCTGAAGTCATGCTCATACTGCCGCACTGTGTGTTGTGATGTCCCACATCCTGAGAGCACTGAATTATTGTGTGTATTATTTTTAGTTTGACACACAATGATTAAAAAAAAGCTTAACTGAAACAGCTTGTTGAGCTTTAGATTTAGAAAACAAAAAAATGAGCTGTCTACCTGATAATATGACTCCTCTATGACCGACGTACTATTAGACAAACATTCAGACGTGAGGTCACTTGGACGAACATTCGGTCCGTCCTGTCATCTGTCTTGTGATCACGTCTCATTTCTCCATTCTTCTTTCTCCACATTTGTCTGTCTCCATCAGAGTCCAGTCTTCACTTTCAGCCAGTCAGAAGTCCATTCTGCTTCCACCACCACCAAAGAACCTAAACCATCATGCGCCACCACCCCCAGGCCCACCGCTCGACCATCTCCAGACCCCAAAACTCAGACCCTCCCATCCAAGGGCCCCACAGAGCGGCCCCAGCTCAACTCCATGAAGTCTCTCCCCTTGGACAATTCCCCGTCTCCCTCTCCATCCCCCATCATGTCTACCACTACACGTGTCTTTAACTTCCCTTCTCCATCCGTCTTCAAGTCTAAGAACTCCCCGTCTAACTCCTGTGCCACGCCTTCCCCCGTGTCCCAGGTGACGCCGCAGGGCTCTCCTCTGCCCACCCCCCTGGGCACGCCTGTCCACCAGCTGCAGCCCAGTACCCCTTCCTCCTCATCCTCCTCTTCCTCGTCCAGGGTGGATGGAGGGGGTGGAGCCACCTTGACTCTGACCCCGCCCTCCAGCCCTGGGGGAAGCATGGGTGCCTCAGGCTCTGCCCACTGGAGGACAAGACTCAACTCCTTCAAGAACAATCTGCTGGGCTCTCCACGCTTCCATCGGCGCAAACTGCAAGGTCAAACAGCTTTTCTGTTGAAACATCTGAATTATGAACATGTTTTTACAATAGTCATATGATAGTTTTGTCCAACTATCCAGGATTGTTTTGTACCTGTTTTATCAGTTCATGTACGTCTCCTCACTGATTACGTGATGCCTCTCTTTCATGTTCGAGACCAAAAGTCAATACTTTGGCTTGCAACATTTGCCGATACCTGATTTGAACCATTACTTGTTCATCCATCCATCCATCCATTTTCTTCCCCTTGATCCAATTCTGGGTCGGGGGGGTGGCAGTCAGAGCCGCACCCAGTACACAGAGCACCAGCCCCTCACTGATCCTCCTGCAGGTGGTGAGTCCACAGGAGCTAAGATGTTTCAGTTGGGGCTTTGGGAAAAGTAGGGTAAGTGTCTTGCCCAAGGACACAACGACAGCAGTCATCAGTGGAAGTCGTGAAGTAGGACTTATGGTGGGCTCAAACCCACGACCTTCAGGCCCAAAGGCCAATGCTCTACCAACTGAACCACTGTCGCCCTACTTACTTGTTCATACATATTGCAAATAGCATTCTTCATGCTATTTTCATAGCATTACAAACAGGGATTTTATCCTGAATTCAGAACTATGACATTCTGGGATGATATCAGCCAATAGTCTGAGATCATCAAAGGAAAAGCCCAGTCCTTGTATAGAACTGATATTTTCTAATATTAACCCAATACTTGATAATAGTATGAGTATAGTATTTAGTTTGTGCATCTCTACAGAGGCAGGGCATAGGTTAGTTCAGTCCTATAAAAAGCCTTGAGGAGATTTAAACATTTAATGCAGGATTCTATTTTGTGTGTGCTATTAAAAGGGAAAATAAAATCAGGGACTAAAGATTACTCTGGAAAGCACTTTACCCAGTGTCTCATACAGACAGGGGTAATCTGAGCCACAGGATACTGACATCAATACTGTGCCTTTAACAATCTATTGTTACATAACACTGAATTGTCTTTTTGATTGACTGTTTGTAGTTTCATAGTTGAATTTGTTTTAGTTGTTTTGCATTTCATTCAAAGCAGTTGCTGTGCGGCGGCTGAAACGCTGGTCATTAGTTGAAGTTTGTCATCTCTCAGCCCCTTGTCTAAATATGTTTATTCTGTTCTGTTTTTAGTTCCTACGTCTGAGGACATGTCCAGCCTGACCCCAGAGTCCAGCCCGGAGTAAGAGAACACAAGACACTATACACCATATCCAAACTAAGGCTCATAAACACAATGTCACAGTGTCATCCAGCCAACTTCAGCTCAGCCAATATACAAACTTGTATCTTGTTATAGAGCCCAGGTCCAGGTGTTGACTTTATTTGTGCATGCTGACATTTGTTTTGGATTGTATCACAACAAATACATATTGGTATTGTATTGCTAGCTGGTGAGAAAATCTACATTTGTCATTCAGCCAACTTCACGCTCAAAAAGACAGTCAAAAACAGTCTGATGAACTATAACGTCAATTTTACTAGAACAAATACTATCCACTATATATGAATCTTCCCCAATGGAACACAACACACTGCTTTTATAGCCAAGAGCCAGAAAACATTCCTGAGCAACCGTTGTCATGACTTTCCTACATTTATCTTATTTGGGAGGTTTAGCAATGTACACGTTGCCTTGTAATGCCAACTATAAGTTAACTGTTTACCCTCATCGCGTGTTGCCATGGTGATGCCCCAGGTGGAGTGATAATATATAAGACATATCTGTTTAACCTATAATTTAATAGGTTTGACAGATATCTCTTTCATTCTCTTTATTATTAAAAACGCCACAGAGCATGTACACATTGGGTTGTATTTCTTCTCTTCCGCCTCCGTCGAGCAAAGACGTGTCTCAGACGCTCCTGCTTCTGACTGCTTGCTATCTCCTGTTTTTGTCTTTTTCCTGGAGTTTTGCCACAGACAACTTTTAGCAAGAATGGAAATGGTAAATTGGTCCCTCAACGCAATTGATTCTATCTTTTCAACACGTAAGCGTGGGTCTGGAGAGCCCGAGTGCCCGGACGGGACTTCACCAGCGGGGTATACGCTTGACAGCTGGAACAAGTGGCAGCCCCTCTGTCTGTCGACCCTGTCCATTGAAGATTCGGAAGACGTATATATCTTTGGCTTTTTGGTGGTGGGGATCCTCCTGTTTGGGCTTGGAGCGGTTCTATTCTACCATAAATTCGGAGGCATGGCAGTTCGCAAGATTCACGACCTGCTGGCCAACAAAATTGATGGGATGTACAAGGAGCTTAACCGAGTCGTGGTTGAGAGTGCTGTGGCTGGACAAAGAAGAGTGGTGTTAGTGGAACAGTTGATCAAAGATCTCGCAGCTCGTTCACTCGATGGGCATAAAACTCTGGAATTGAGATTGAATGACATTGTTTGTCACGCTTGAACTCTCTGACCCGGCTTGGATTGGCCCCTGTGTACGGGGTCTGAGGGCGCCGCAATTCGGTTTAATTGGATTTAATAGAATATCTGCCTGTTTTTGACTGCTAAAATGCATACAATATTGTCCCTCGTTACAGGAAGATGTGTTTTTCTCCTTGCTGTGTCTTCCCTCCACTCTTATCTCACATTCCTCGGGCCAAGGCCATCATAATAAATCTGGACTCTACAACAATTCACACTCTTTCAGTCAGTTCCAGCTTGGATCCCGCTCCCCCCGCCTCCCTCTGATCTCTCCCTCCCCTCCCCTCCTCACTGTGTTTCCGGCTCACCCCCTCCCTGACCCCGCCCCCCTCTGACAGCCACATTGGGCCGGCTGCAGAAGGTGCTCATCCCGAAAAAAAATCCGTGGTTTATACAAAGCACAATGTTTTCTATCCAACTGTCTGTTGTAACCTGTATGTTATTGCTCTCTGCTGTTTATTCTACTGTTTGTCGCATGGCGCCGGAAAGATGGCGCCGTGGCAAGAGCTCTGGTGTGTGTCGTCTCTGTCTGGCGCACACCGGGGTAGTCTTGCAGTTTTTCCAATGTGGTTTTACTGCAAATGGCAAATAAATGAATCTGAATCTGAATCTGAACACAGCTCTCACTCGGGGGAATCGGTTCCGGACCTCTCACTCTGAGCCTCATATACTCAGCGGTGTCACACTTTACCCACAGAAAAGTGCAGCACTCCGTGATGAGCCTCTTGCTTCACATGTGCAATGAGAACTTATTGAAAAAGAAGCGGCGTTACGTTACTATATTGCCAATAGTTAACGCGTTACTTTACTTTTCCCCAGATAAGAATTTTTGTTAGTTACTAAGTTACACCCAACACGGTTAGTAAATAGGCTAATATGTCTCTTTCCTGCAGATTGGCCAAAAAGTCCTGGTTTGGCAACTTCATCAGTCTGGAAAAAGAGGAGCAGATCTTTGTGTTGATCCAGGACAAGCCCCTGAGCTCCATCAAAGCAGACATCATCCACGCCTTCCTCTCGGTCAGTGCAGCCTCCTCTGAGCACATCACTGTCTCACACATCTGACCTCAACATGTCGTCCTCAGATCCAGTCCCTGAGCCACAGCGTCGTGTCCCAGAACAGCTTCAGGGCGGAGTACAAGTCCTCCGGAGGGCCCTCTGTCTTCCAGAAACCTGTCAAGTTTCAAGTACCTACTGCTTTTTTTTCTACAATACCTACTGTATGTTTAAATCTGGGGTGCCTAACTTTAAAACTCACACTTCATCAACACAATTAGGTTCTATCACTAGTTTTAACATGCATGTATTTTTGGCCTCTGTCAAAATAATCATGTTTTTCAAAAAAAAGTGAAAAAGAGAGGATGGAAAGGTTTTCTAATAAGATAACAAAAGAATGTTGTGGTTTAAGACTTTTTCCGCTTGTTTTCTTTCTTTTTTTATTTTAAAGTTTTGGTCTGATAGCATGACTTCTGTGTTTCCATGGAGATAGATGTGTTTAAAGCTAGAATACATGATTATGCCTCACATACTAGTGGTACTTTCTTTTAACCCACAGGGATAGAGATTTCTATTTCATGAGAGAGTCGTGTATGAAATCTTGCATCTCTGTGGTACAAATTGCTACATAACTTTGCATTTAGGTCATTTTTGCATTAGAATTATTGTTATAACTATGCTTTATTTTGCGGATAAAGATGTGTCCGTACAGGCACAGGGCGACGAGGTGTGAAGGGAAAGATGCAAAGTCCCTGAAGTTTACTCACATTTTGTTTATTTGTTTATTTGAATGGGACAGTGTGTATTCATGAACAGTGGGTGCTGTAAATACACTGGATTGTGGCTGGATCATTTCTATTCATCGTCCCACAGTCGCACACACAAACACACACTCATTCACCCTGACTCAATCAAATGCAAAGGCTTTTTCATTTGGACCCAACTGAAATAATTGATCCCTGGATGTGAGGCAGGCCAAAGAAACTCGGGAATGTGGGTCCCGTAAGCGAAAAACCTGACCAGCGCCTCACTATACACTGCTACTTAAAGCTGGGATACTTGCTCTCAGGAAATGCAGAAAAATACATGTGACTTGTTTTGGGATTAGCGCTGTTTTTAGAGCAGAGTATAAGGACCTTTTAATGTTTCGATGGTTCTGTTAATAAAGCAAAAATTGAAATGAGCTAGTGCTACTTAATTAGATTCCGCCTTCTGTCAGAGGCCGAGGACGAAGGCGCAAGTCTACTGCCGAAACACGTACTATCTCCTTACATTTTTGTCGTATTAAAAGAACCACATAAGCACAAAGGACCTTTTATTTTGATCTTTTTTTTGTTGACAGTCGTAGTCGGTAGTAAATGAGTCCTGACATGGAACAGTTAACATACTAACATGAAGTAATGTTGGCTTCCTAAGAGTTCATGGTGGTATTTACCTTAAGACTTGTTCATTACAAGTCAACAGTATGTTTAAACCAGTGGGGGCGGGTCTTGGCTCAAAAAGGTCCATGAGCATGTGCGCTGACATGCTTAAAAACCACTCTGGGCCGGTGGGGGTGTATCCAGAAAGAGAATTACCCAATGCTTTTGTATGCCGCCTTCTTTCCTCTCGAAAACAGCTTTACAGGATGCTCCAAAATGTGTGTCTAGTTCCATCGCTACAATACAGATTTGTGTCAAAGGAGTAATTTTTTGGGACCAGTCTAGTTTAGCCGCTGTGGACTTTTGAATCCACTCCATTCACATTTTCCAGCCCCCAGCCATTATTAAAAAGCCCACAGAAGGCAAAAGTGGTGGCACATTAGTTTCAACAGCGGAGATAGGCGTGACTACGTCCGTTAATATTTACAATGGTTAAAACAACTATTCATTAAATCATGATGTGTCCCGTTAAAACAGTCCTCTATCTGCTTGTTTTTCTCTACATCAGCCGGGTTTTCATGTAACATTACAACATGAAAACTCAAGTAGGGCCTACATGTGGACAACATTCACTTTCTCTTCAAATTTAGCTGTTGTGGAAAGTTCTGCACCCACACTAAAATGCTCAAATACACCTATCAGCTAGGGATTTTTGTTGTTGTTATTATTCTGATCCTATTTCTGTGTTGCTTCCTTCTGTAGGTGGACATCGCGTACTCAGAGGGAGACAGAGAGAGAGAGAGGGACCGTGCCGAGAGAGAGGGCAGGAGAGAGATTGGTATCTACAGTGTCACCTTCACCTTAATAGCAGGTACGGACATCCAAACACGCTGCTTACTGTATATAGTATTAAAAGCTGGGAATTATACGAGCTCAGGCACTTAAAATACAGCTCCTCTTCTATTTTTAGGGCACATAACGCAATTCTCTCTTTATATGACAACAGCTCCACCACAAAACAAGTTGGGATACAAGGATATTTGTTTCCTTTGAGAAAAATGACTGAAGCGCAAGTGAACCGTCCACATATTTTGGATTGGTCAAGAGGACTGAGGGGAGAGCAATGGCGTTGCGCCTATATGAGGATCAAAATAACCAAAATATGCATGAGTACCGCTGAAAAACGCCTTGAGACTATAGCATGATCAACATCTGTGACGTTATGTTCCCTTAAATGAAGATATTTTTTATCCCAAATTCCAAATCCCAATACATACACTTTTTTTTTTTTTTTTACTAAGATTTGATAGTGTGTAGATTAAATCGATATTGTATTATGTCGCAAAGTCCTCTCTACTGGCCAACCTCCATGCATGTTTTTTTTCCTTCGTTTTTATACAATAGGCTCTTTTGGAACGTTGTGATGTCTGCAACCTTTTGTACATGACCTACATAGCAGTGTTGATTTCTTGTGGCAGGTCCCAGTCGCCGATTCAAGAGAGTGGTGGAAAGTATCCAGGCTCAGCTTCTCAGCTCTCACGACCAGCCGTCTGTGCAGGCCTTATCTGGTGAGTTCTCCGCTCCATTTCCCTCCTCACTACACCGACTCTTACTCTTAAATCTTGCATCTTTCTTATCAAGAAGACGAGAAGAATGGTCAGCTCTGCCGTCAGCCCAGCACCCCGTCCAGACAGAATTCCCGGCGCTCCGAAGGCGGATCGGATCGAGGGGAGCGGGAACGCGCTGATAGCGGCAGTGGGAGCAGCAGCGGGAGCATTTTACAAAGACGTGGATCGAGTAAAGACAAAACCAGACTTCTATCCTCGACAAACGGGACACAAGCCCACCCCTGAAGAATGTTCTGGAGGACTGTCATGAGGTTACCCCATTCTGCCTTTTTTCTCTTATTCGGTCTGTCCTCGCCCATGCATTCATACTCCTCAGTCGCTCATTACGTCGCCGCTTCCTCGGATCAGTCGTCAGCGTTGCTATGGAGAAGACTGTTTCCCGTTGGAGCGGATAAGGTATTACATGAAATCCTGTTTGACTTTTCACTCTGGAACGCTCAACACTCCTAAAGCAAAGAATAAATAGGCCAAATGAAAGCTAACTCAATGACCAGGTACATGCCCTAAATATGCCATCTGTCCAAAAATATCAATTTGACTTATGTCTAACGCAGGAATGACGACACCACTTCCTGAGCTCGTATTACTACATGTTGCTTGCAGATCTTTTGTCGATGGCGATAATTAAACCTGCAGATAAATGCAAATGTTACTCTTAACTATTCCACACATGTGTCTTAGAACGACACCGCACCTAAACACACAGAGTCAGGGCCATGCCACAGAAAAACCAACATAAAACAAATGAAAAGTGAACATAAATCTGTGAATAATTTGGTTGTTGTGCCAATACGGCCAACTTTGTGAATGTAAACAAAGTCTGTCTTTGTGTATGCGCTTATGGCAGAAGTGTGGCTTTAGTCGTGGTTATATCTATTTGTAGGTAACAAACTACTAACAAACGACCCTAGCCCGTCCATGGTATACGCCCCTTAAGCAAATTCTTAGTATCAAAAACCCCACTTGCCCTTTACTTCAGTGTATGATAAAAATACTAGATTTGTGTATTTTTGTTTTGTTTTCCGATTTACACAAATGAAGCTATGACACCATATTGCCTTTAATAGTGGAGAGGAAATCTGTGGTAAATACACACATCACGACGTGAATAAGAATAAGTCGGAGCAGCTTGCATGAATTGCCCAAAGCAAGTGTTTTTTTTGTCTTGCTTCAAAGTTTACGATTATAATTCATTGTAGGCTTAACTTGACTAGGGTTGAATTTACATGAGACGGTTTTGTTTTTATAGAAAACTACCAATATATACATCACCAAAGCCACGTCATGTAACGTTCTATAGAAAAGTGCCCACTGTCGCTTTGTCATAAGTAGAATTTGACACCACACACGAAGATTGCTATGTTTTTACTTTGTTTTTTCTACACTTTGAAACAATGTCTTTTTATATTTTGGCCAAAAGTAGAGAGAGGCAGTGCTAACCATTTGAATGTCTGAAACTTTTTTAAACAAAGGTGTACATTTTGTTGCATATATTTATTCAGAAGTATTTATTTATCTATTACTTATGCATTATTTTACTGTCTGTATGTACTATGAATTGAAATTCCTGGCTGCAGTGCAAAACCAGCTACACACGCGGAACCAAAACGATCAAACCTTTTTTTACAGTATTCTATACCGCTACAGATGTTGGGTTACTTGACTTCTTGAAAAGGCATTTTGAATGTTTTGAGATTCCAAGATTAAACCACAATGCAAATATGACTTCAATCTTAAAAAGAATGCAATAATTTATGAAAGAAGTAACTATATTTTGAATAAGATAAATTATGAACAACAAATACCTGCTGGGACAAGCACAACAGAAAGGCTTAAACAGGAATAAGAATGTTGCTTGATGTATAAGTCTTTCTAATAGACCAGGTCAATTTCTCTTTTCTCTTTGCCCCTCTCGGAATATGTCTTTTGATGTATTGTTGCTTATACATTGGCATGCCATTTCACATTTCCATTTTGATTGTGGCACCATGGACTGCACCATATCCCAACTTTGTGAAGAGTCAGTTCATAGTTTCCCATTTTGCATCGCTATGTGTTCGAAACGAGATTTCAGCCACGGGTATCGCATCATTATAAAGTTGGGATTTCACAAACGGTTACATGAAATTAGCTGGATGGATCTGCAGTCACTTCTTTGCCCCCACCTGATGTTACTCCTGCTTGCAGCACTATGGGGCCCCTCGTAGTGGTTACATAGACATATCTGAGAGCGCTGATCAGAGGTGTCTTGTTACAAACAGCACTATGGGTCAAGTTCATCATTTTCCATCCACAATCAATGAAGACTGAAACCAGGGAATGGACTTTAAAAGTGGATATGTGTGATTTACATGAAGACTCAATGAGACCCCCTCCTCGCTTGCCCTGTTGACAGGAGTTGCCGCTCCCTCTACTCCTCACCAGACCATTATTCCATTCACAACACCTTTTCTACTTGTTTGTAACCTGCCAGCGGCCATTATATCCCTTCACATATCTTATCCATTATGTAATCACTCCCTTTGTTTTCCTCCTGCTTTTCACACAGATGCTGTGTACATTTGTATGCCTGTCTGTCCCCATTGTATGCCATCTGTATCCACATAGCACTCACTATACTTTACGACACTATAATCTCATCATTATCTTCTCATTCTTATTAATTGATATAATATTCTATCACCCATTGACCCGTTTATCATCTTCAAAATCCTCCCCTCTCATTGTCCTCTTAACTGCCCTCCCGCTCACCTTTCACAAAGTAGACATTTTTTAATTGTCCTGTCCTGAAATTACAACTAAAAACTTTGGGAGAAATATGTGTGATTACACAAAACTGTCAATGATGACAAAAAGGTATGTCTGTACAATAAAAATGGACAAGTGCACTATTATGACAATGATTATAATTGCCTGTAAGTAAAACTGACCATTAAACAACAATGGAAATACAAGTCTTGTGTTTGGTGGATCCATGTATGTATGTGCTCATTATATGAGAGCATGAAAGCTGAGGTACCTCATTGTTATTGTTCTTAAACAATACACCTTTTACATCTTGTAAAAGTAGAATGTTGCGAACAAATCAGACCACAACATTCTGCATTCCTCTTATAAAAAAAGTTTACTGTTTGCATACTTGAAAGAGCCATGAGTCTATTTGACGCTTTGAGCTGATTGACTGTGAGGATGGTCCTCTGTGTCACTTCTGTCTGGAACAGCTGATCTGAAGATAGACCAATAATACAAGCATTTAAACTGTTTCCTTGCTGAGAAAAAGGAACTACAGTAGTTACATATTTGTTTATGGTGGATTGAAATGTACTTATCCCAGCTTAAAGGGTGAAGTTCCTAAAACAAATATGAGCATACAAGTCAAGTAGTAATGCTCCAGGTATTACAACAACACTTAACTGATTTTACGCTCAACAGAAAGAGGTCTTACTCCAACCCTCTTGAAACACGGACTATATAGTTTGTTCTTGTCTCTTAATCTTCCATTGTATAGTTTGATTGAGGCACAAGTTTTTTACAACCATCTCAGTCAAACAGGCTAATCACTACTTCACTGCAACCCCATGAGTCCGCCCCTCGTCTCTATTGTCATCAGAGTGGCTGCTCTTCTCGTGCTTCACGATCTCTGTTGGAGGCTGCGCTCTCTGTGAAAGGCCCTCGCTGGTTTGACTGGGAGGGCAACAAACGCGCCGGTTTTTAACACACTTTCTTCAGTCTTAAAACATCACCTCCAAAAGATTTGGGTAAAGTATTGCCTTTTTTGTTTTGTTATTTGTCTTGAATGGAGGTTTGCGTCGGGCCCAGACCCAGCCTCGCCCTGTGTGTTGTTGTGCGTGCACTTGGCGGCTGTGATGGACATTGTTTGGAGCGTGTGTGAATGCTCCTCTGTGTAGCTGCAGCTGTAATACATGCACTGGCCAGCACTGGTGTCATTTTAACATCGTTTACCGTGTTAAAGCTTTCTAACATGGTCGTACGGTCTTGTTTGGTCACCCCAAAAGCATCACACCAACACACATTTTAATGCAACGAAATCAAACTTCTCCATCCAGCTTTACGCACAACTTTCTTTCAGCTTATGTAACTAGAAACGCGTTACTTTTTGTGGAACCTGTGACAAGTGCCAAAAAGTAACATCGGACATCTCACTGCACTTTTTTTTCCATCTGTAAGCGTCGTAATCGGTCCAGCTTTTGTGTCAATCATCTGCGTATGTGTGTGAGACAGATCCAGTTAAACCTGTCTGATTACGCGCCATCCTCACGAACCCTGCCAAGCGAGCCTCACCAAAACTAGGGTGATATGAAGTGAGAAAGGGCTTTGTTTTGCTGTAGGAACATATTGTCCCCACTATAGTGCGCGTCTCGGAGTGGCAGTCCATCAGTGGCAGTGGGAGACGTTTTTGACTCCCACTTTCCACACGATGTTTATGTCCACTGCATAGCTGCCATATTATTACCATTTACCACCCACTATGTACTCCCCTTCCCTCCTTCAAATCAAAGCGACACAAAAGAGATTTACAGACAAGGATGCAAGAAACAATGCAACAAGTCTGGAGTGTGTCCATCTTTCACGTCTGTTCCATCTTCAAAATAGACACTAAAGCTGGGGTACCTAACTTTTCTCCATTCATAAATGTTATATGTAGTTTGTCCCAGCAGAACAAATCAGACCACACCATGATGTCTTTATCTTATTAGAAAATATATTCACTCTTGCACTCTTAATAACAAAATAATAATAATAACAGAGCCATATAAGTTACTATTGAGACGTTTTGAGCTGAGAGCTGATTGGCCGAGGTAGAGCGGTCCTCTCCTTTTTACTTTTAAAATGTGACAAAAAATACATGTATGTGAAACTAGTGATCGAACTAGTTAGAGAGACTTTATTACATAGTGGTTTGAAAGTTAAAAGTTGAATTTCAAGTCTGTTGCTTAGGATGTGACAATTTACATAGTGACTTAGTTGCAGATATTTAGGGTTGTTTAGAATCCCAACAATGCAGATGAACTGGAATAGTTTATTTTGGGTCACTCCTTCTACAGCCACAGTTATACCGTTTCATTTCAGTTGTTCTTCTTTTTAGTTTGGATACTTACTGAAAAGAAAACTCCCGCACACTCACTTTTAGATGGAACGCAACAATTTGGTAGAACTTTTTTCCACATTGCCTACAGGTTCGAACATTTACTCTTTATATGGCTCTCGTTTGAAAAAGAGGTTCTTAAACTCAATGGGACTTTCATGGTTAAATAAAGGTTAAATAAATGAATCAATGCAGCTTTGTATGATTTTCTTTTTTCTTTAATTGTTTGTTTTTCCCCTGGTAGAATGACACCTGTTTTGATTGTAACAATACTTTTACACAGACAAAAGCTGCAGTTTGTGAAGAAATATGCTAAACATTTTTGGGAAATTGACAGGAAGTAGAGCCAAAAACTGTTTGGCATAATTCAGTTACAGCAAACTCATTGTTTTGACACAGATTTACTGCAAGCATCTTCTGGAGTTTTACTTTTGGCCCAGTGTATTACTCAGTTGCTAGCTAGCACCCCTCATTTTTTACAAGAAATTAAATTACGAATAATTTAATTTGTACAAACTGGGATGACTTGTTGAAAGTCTTTAGCAAAATCTTAATTATAATCATATTCACTATTTTTTTGTGAACAGTAAAGTGGACATAAGCTCTTTAAGTTGTTGTGTCTGGCAGTTGGTTGCCATAGCAAAGGGACAACAGCATTCCTCAGGTACAAAGTTAGCGAGTAGCATGGACACTCAACATGTTGGTCTTCTGCTAACATGTGACATTAACTTTTACAATTTCAATGGTATATAATCACATTTACATCGTACTTTTGTTTCAAGCAACTCAGATCATGTTTTTTGTAGTTCTACATTTAGTTAAGCATGGTTTATTACTACTATTAAAGCTAGGTTACCTAATATTTTCCCATAACTAACACATGTTGTTTGTCCCTACAGAAAATGTATCTACATTTTATCTGATTTAAAAACCGTTATGCTGCATGCTGTCCTCCGAGTCAATATTCTATGTTTTGGGCTGATTGGCTGAGTGAGGTTAGTCGTCTTCTTTTCAATTTTTCTGCCTGAAAAAGTTGTTCTAAAGATATGACAGACGCCAAGTGCATCGAACAAGTTAGATTGATTTAATTACATAGTTCCAGTTCTGTGGTTTGAAAGTTAGGTACTCCAGCTTTAATTTGGTTGCTTTCACTGTAGTTAATAACCTCCAGCTTGAATTCTGTTGCTTTGAAGTTTGCCTACATCTATAATGTCTGTGTGTTTGCCTTCACAGAGATGGCGGAGGCTCACCAGGCCGTGGCGTTCCAGTTTACCATCACCCCTGAAGGCATCGACCTGCAGTTGTCCTACCAGGCTCTGAACCAGATCTACCGCTCCGGAGTCCGCTCCTGGAAGAAGAGAGTGAGCCGCATGAGGGTAAGGCTGGAGAATGCAAACGAACAGGGCAGTGGAAGAAGGATTACAGGCCACATACACCAGGAAGCCCACAGAAAACAAATATGTGCTTGAAAGTTTACACATCCAGACAGAAATGTTGATTTATTTAGCCAAACTGCGTATTATGAGTAATAGTTGTTGATGTTTTTAATCGTCAAATTCTAATGACAGCAGAAACTATTCAAACTTCTCTGAAGTTTCCGCTTTAACATCTATGGTGGTAAAAGTGGTTAAGCTGCCCATTCTTCTTGGCAATTCCTGGGCTGCCTGGCATAAACTGCACATGTGAGATCCCCCACAACGGCTCAATGATGTCAGAATAGGAAAAAATAAAACACATTTATCTGGCAACATATGGCCTCACTCACACGATCACTACGGATGAGTGAAACATATGCTTTGTCCAACCCCTTTTTCAAACTGAAAATATGATAATTACTAATATTATAATAAATAAGAATTGCTGAAAGATATGATAACTTAATTTTTTGTGTAATCTGAGTAATATGCCTGTGAACCTTAGTTTAAATATTAAATTTGTTGAATGCAAAATAAAAAATTGAATAAATGCATAGACGATAACATCACACTTAACATGATTATAATTGTTATATTTACGGGCTACTGAGTGCCCCTATGTTTATTTATTTTTCTTACTTTTTGTGCAAGTATTTGTGTTTGTGTTGTTGGTCCTGGAGATGTGGACGTGTGAATGATCGTTTGTGCTCCAAACAGATGTGTTTTATTCTCAGGGGTACGTGTCAGAAGGACTGAAGCTCTTCCAACATGCTCAAACATGTCTGGTCGTGAGGCGTGTAATAATAATAGGTTTATATATTATTGTGCCATTCTTTTGTTAAAACGGGCTGGCAATACCAAGCAGTTCTTGAATAAATTTAAAACAATGTATATGTGTGTAAAAATGTATCCTTGTTTTTTGTGTGATTACAGAATCTAGTGATAAAAGGTGTTTATCCGGCTAGCCCCTCCTCTTGGCTCTTTGTCGTCATAGCGATCCTGGCCACCATGTACATGCGCTCTGATCCCAGCATGGGCCTCATCGCCAAAATACAACAGCACCTGCCTTTAAGGTACTTTTGTCTGATTGAAACCTCTGATGCAAGAGCAATACAGCAGATAATCCCAGTAAAGCAGGTTTTCATTGATCCACTTTACAAATTTACAAAGAGGATGGCAAAACTTTCTCCACTAGAAAAATAATGAGACTCAAAATATGTTGTAAAACCATCAGGTGTTGAACAATACGTCGATATAGTAATAATCGTTTAAGAAGAAGATAAAAAGAATATAAATCTGTTTTGACATTGGTCATCTGTCCCTTATGGACCAATACCAATGTTTTTTCTCTTTTATTTCAATAACTGTTTGACTCTCTGATCTGTGTTGGCGAATTCAACGGTTTTGTAAAGTCCTCCGAGAGAACTACTGTTGTGATTTAGGGCATTACGAAAATAAATTGAATTGATGTTTTTTGGATGACAGTGGTTAGAGAATTGTAAAATGTCTTTGTGACTTATGTCAGAATCAGAATCAACAGTCAGGCATAATACAAATCAGCGTACATTTCTAATGCTATGATGGGCAGTAAGGTGACTTTATAAAGAGCAGGGGGACAATATTATGAAGTATTTAGTCCAACAGCAGAGGGTTATGTATGGGTACCTTTTAGCCCGGTTTGATTATGCATGGCCTCGAACTGACACCTGCATGTCCAGTATATGTTTTAGGAGCAGGAGTGGAGAGTGGAGAGTGGCAGCGGTGGTAGTGCTGCCCGTCGGGAACATGCGTGTTGAGACAGTGACTCAGTTTGGGTGTGATTCAGGATGTGACCTCTACCCTACTTCAGAACCACTTTAACTCACTATCAAAACTATGCAGAGGAGTGAAAATAGATATAAATCATTTTAAACATTTTATATCTCAATTTAAAGTTATGAGTGCTGGGTCCAAATCATGAAATCTCATCAAATTAAAAATAGTTTTAATTTTGAATTTCATGTGATTTTAGACATGAATGTTAAGATGAAATATGTAATGTGCAATTTGAGCCAGAAGAGGGAGCCAGTGTTCTTTCTCAGACCTGTGTTTTATTGTATGAGTAAATATTACAAATGGAATACTCTGATTCTGATCTAAAGTTCAATGTATACATTAAAAGTATGTTTTTAAATGACTCATTTGATATTTTGATGCAACAAATCATTCATGTCCATTTGTGGCTCTGTAATCATGATCTCAGATGCTGTTTGTTGCTTAAACAGTTGTGTTTGTGTGCAGCCTGGTGTCACTCGGGGCCCAGGGTCAGACCATGCTGTCAGCTTTGGTCTTCAGCACTCTGCTGTGGCTCTCTCTGATCCTCGCGCTGCGCTTCTGTCTCAAGCTGCTGCTGTCGTATCACCGCTGGATGTTCGAGCTGCACGGCCGAGTGTCCAACACCACCAAAGTCTGGGTGGTAAGGCTGCTTTGCACCACTGCTCTCATTTAGATTTTTCCTATGAAAATAATACATTTGTTTAGGCCTGTAAACACACTCTATGGACAATATTTTTACCTATGACACAATGGCCCTCGGTTATGAAACTTGCGTACGGTCAAATCAGTGTGAAAATGAGGCGTACGGAAAAAATGTACACCCTTCAGCATTTATGATTCTGGAGGTGAGCGTACGGTACGCACAGAGTATACACGAGTCTGAAGGTAGTGTACACATGGTGTACACAACATGCAAATAACACGCATGAAATTCAAGATTTGGACAACAATAAACATTCCCGACATATTGGGGCGACAGTAGCTCAGTTGGTAGAGCATTGGCCTTTGAGCCTGAAGGTTGTGGGTTCGAGCCCACCATAAGACCCACTTCAAGACTCCCACTGATGACTGCTGTCGTTGTGTCCTTGGGCAAGACACTTAACCCCACTTTGCCTCAAGCCCCTGCTGAAAGATCAAGGCTCTTGTGGACTCACCACCTGCAGGAGGATCAGTGAGGGGCTGGTGCTCTGTGTACTGGGTGCAGCTCTGACTGCCACCCCCCCAATCCAGAAATGGATTAAGGGGAAGAAAATGGATGGATGGATGGATAAACATATTCCCACTCTGGCAAGATTATATATTGTTGAATGTGGGGATTGTTGAATGTGTAGCACCTACAATCAGTGCGCAACGACAATTGGTTCATACGGGTTCAAGCCTCCGGTACAAGAGCCATATGATCCTGGCTCGGTCCTCCACAACAGGCACAGGACCACGGTGTGTCATTGGATGCACTGGTGGAGCAGCCCATGGATGACAGACCAGCACCGCCCTCAGCCTGTACACCTCAGACTCTCATTCAACCATTTTAGATAAGATAATTTTATTTCTTATTATTTTCTTTCGGATGCTTTGGTCTGGCGGTTCTCCCCCTGGGCTGCTGAGCACTTCTTCTATAAGCTGCTAAACACCTTTTTGTTGCCATTTTAAGGTCGCTCCATTTTTTTTCACCCGTAGGCCTAAATTAGTAAATTCTAACTATTCCATTCCATTCCATCTTCTTCCGCTTCATCTGTTGCCGGGTCGCGGGGACAGCAGTCTAAGCAGAGACGCCCAGACTTCCCTATCCACACACTCTTCCTCCAGCTCGTCAAACCCAAGATGTTCCCAGGCCAGCTGAGAGACAGCTGGCCTGGGAACTTCCCCGTGTCCTGGGTCTTCCCCGGGGCCTCCTCCCGGTGGGACGTGCCCGGAAGAAGGCATCCGGAACAGATGCCCGAGCCACCTCAACTGGTTCCTCTTGATGTGGAGAAGCAGCGGCTCTACTCCGAGCTCCTCCCGTGTGACTGAGCTCTAAGGGAGCGCACAGCCACTCTGCGGAGGAAGCTCATTTTGACCGCTTGTATCCGCGATCTTGTTCTTTCGGTCATTCCCCAAAGCTCATGACCATAGGTGAGGGAGGGAACAAAGATTGACCGGTAAATCGAGAGCTTTGCCTTTCGGCTCAGCTCCCTCTTTACCACAACGGTCCGATACAGCGACCGCATCACTGCGCACGCTGCACCGATCCACCTTTTTCCGGTTGAGCACCATGGCCTCAGATTTGGAGGTCCTGATTCTCATCCCAGCCGCTTCACACTCGGCTCCAAACCGTCCCTGTAAATTCTAACTATTGGCCCAATTATCTGTCAACTGTTTGACATAATAGCATTTTTTTTTTTTTTTACACACATCTGTTTACAGATACTGTCATCTCTTTTGTTTTTTGAGCCCCATGATGCCACTTTTGAGGCTTCCAAACAGTAAGTCCACTTCGTTCATAATGGTCCCAATCTCCTGCTCCGTGACGTTTTTTTCTTGGCCTTCTTCCTTGCAATTGACCCAAAAACAGGGCGTGAAACGTTTGCTGAATATTTATAGGCGTGACTTTCATAAACATGCTCGCTTTCAGCCGCTGCATTTATCAACAGCCGCAGGTGCGTACGCTCAGATCTGGGCGGATCTCACACGTTCATAAATCCCACGTTGGATGTTGCGCATTTGGAATATACACCCAAATTGTACACCCTTTTCTGCACAAGTTTCATAAATGAGGCCCATTGAGAGTAAAGTTGGTTCATCCCAGTGAACCCTTTTTTTAAAAGGTCTTAATCATTAAACGTCTTGAGACGAAACAACAAACGAGTGCAGATTTTGTGCAGTGACAAAGTAGAGATGATAAATACTGTGCACCAAAACACAAAGTCATGAACAATAAAAAGAGTAATTATTGTGTTGGGCCGTTTGAGTATCTGCTGTTTTTTATAATGATAATTACTGTTGTTTTTGCTGTCTTTAGACTCTGCTGCGGTTACTATCTAGCCGGAAGCCTCTGTTGTACAGTTATCAGACCTCACTGCCTCATCTGCCGGTTCCACCCATTCAAGACACTCTGAGTCGAGTGAGTTCACCTCAAAGCTTCAACAATCAAACCAATGTTTCCAAAGGATGTTTCTTCAATAGTAGTCATCTATATCTTTATATACTGTATGACATGGTTTTAATGTCAAATTGCCATATGATACAGTAATAACGCTACAGCATGAAGCGGAGAGGAAATTAATACTCTATGCTTTCATGCACAGTAGTTTATTGCAGTATAATTATATACTGCAATACAAGTTGGACACTAGTGTGTTGCACTAACATCCTGATTTAAAACCTTTTACCGCTAGTTATTTACAACATGCTCTTTTTATATTGTAAGTTTTAACTTTCTATTTCTCTAGCTTGTCATTCATAAAGTCTGGTTTTGCAGTATCTGTTGTCAGTGCGCCCTCTGCTGACTGATCCGGAGTACAAGCGTATGACTGAACTGGCCAAGGATTTTGAAATCAACCTGGGGAATCGTCTTCAGCGCTATCTCAAGCTCAAAGCCTTGTGGGCCATCAATTATGTGAGTATCAACGCCAACGCAGATTGCAATACAAAAGAGTAGCAAAAGTAGCAACATCAAAAGCCAGTGCTGACAAGCAACTTCCAACAGATGACAAAGATAACATAAAAAAAGAACTTTCAATTTAGAGTATTGAAAGTATTGTATTGTATAAGAAACTGTCACAGTAGGTAGCATTCGTGTGACATCACAACATTCCGAAGAGCCTTTAGTTGAACGTTGAGGGAAACTGAGCAGTATTTTTCTGTTATTATTTTATAATATTGTGAAAAGTCAGACTTATAGTCTTTTAAAGACGTCTATACGTGGAGACGATATTCATAAAACGTCTGCATAATAGTAGAAATGGTGATGGTGTGTGTCTCTGTGTGGGTATGTACAGTGCCTTGCGAAAGTATTAGGCCCCCTTGAACCTTTCAACATTTCGCCACATTTCAGGCTTCAAACATAAAGAAATAAAATTTTAATTTTTTGTCATGAATCAACAACAAGTGGGACACAATCGTGAAGTGGAACGAAATTTATTGGATAATTTAAACTTTTTTAACAAATAAAAAACTGAAAAGTGGGGCGTGCAATATTATTCGGCCCCCTTGCGCTAATACTTTGTAGCTGCAATTACAGCTGCAAGTCGCTTGGGGTATGTCTCTATCAGTTTTGCACATCGAGAGACTGGACCAAGAATACTTTCGCAAGGCACTGTATATTATAGATTCTATGACAAATTGCTCAAGAATGGTAAAAGGTATAAACAATCCGTTTTTTGTAGATAAAGCTAAGAGCCTAATCTCTCATTTGGCCCTCAGTGTTTAGTCATATTCTGTGGTTCTTCAAAGTTAGGTCAAATCCCCTGAAAACACTGGCAGAACGCATTTCCCTGATCTGAAAATGGTCTGGTAGTCAATGAATCAAAAATAGTGACAATTTCACCATTAAACATAAATGGTAGATAATATTTTTTTTATAATTGAGAAAACTTCATTGTAATAAGAATCATTTGAGGCCACATGTACCCCAATTAAAATAATGTTCGTCCCTTTGTGATGTGGGACGTGTATACATGTGTGTATACACGTCCCACCCTCTGGAGGAAACCCTGATGCTGAAACGCTGAACAAATATGTTCCAACATTAACACGGCTATCATGGCAATGTGAATGGAGACAAACACTTATGAAATAATTCCTTTTGTTTGCTGCTGGATTTGGGTCAAGGAGAGCGGTGGAAGAATACAAAATATTGACTGTGCCACTTTTGGCCAGATTTTTACATACTGCTTCTTCAACTGAATAATATTTTCAGCGTTCCTAAAACAAACAAAGTGATATAACAACATATTTATGAGATAGATTATTTATTGTATATTGTACACAAACAGTAATAAAAAATAAATGCTGTGTCTCTTGTGTCCAAGGTGAGCGACTGGTGGGAAGAATACATTTACCTCCGGAGCCGAAGTCCTATAATGGTCAACAGTAACTACTACGGCATGGTAAATGATCAGAATCAGAATTCTTTTATTGCCTTGTGAGAAATAAGAAGTCACTTCTCTCAACACTTTAGTTTATGTGTTACAACAATTAAACATTTCTCTGGTGTTTGTCGTAGGATTTCCTGTATGTGACGCCGACCTCAGTGCAGGCCGCCAGAGCAGGAAACACCATCACTGCTCTGCTCCTTTACAGACGCAAGGTCAACCGCGAGGAGCTCAAACCGGTGAGAATCAGTGTAACACTATCACAAGGTATTGTGCAAGTTTAAATGACTCGTGCATGATTAGCAGCTGATGCTCTCAAACATCACAAAACATTTATTTATAAATCCAATTTATTTTTTACCTGAAATATAGTTCAATAATAAACAGAATGCTCTTGTAGTCATTTTCTCTTTTATCTGCTCCTTGACTCTCGGGGCTGCATGATTTTGAAGAGATGTTTTACTTTGACTTGTTTGAGTATATGTGATGTGATCTGGGAAAACCCATCACATGGTGAAATTTGACCAACTTAAGATTCTGACACCATCTTAAAGCTGCTTTCAATCTATTTTCAAATCTGTTTTCCTTTTTTTCATAGCAGGTCTGTAACAAAAGTTATCATTATCTGAAGTCAGCTTAACATGGTTTTATGAAACGGAATTTTGAGAAAAACAGGACATTCTAAATAGAATCACCACAATCAAATATAACACGTTAAATTTGAATTACTCTAGGCACACAGTTATTCTAGTCACTATGTTGTAAAGATAAAAAAAATGTACTTTGACTTTTTTTTACTTCTCAGCAAGAAGGTCCTGGGTTCGAATCCCGGTTGGACCAGGGCCTTTCTGAATGGAGTTTGCATGTTCTCCCCGTGTCTGCGTAGGTTTCCTCCGGGTGCTCCGGTTTCCCCTACCACTAAAAATATGTACAATAGCTCTGGCATGTGCCTCCTGTACTGGCACCCCCACTCCCAAAAATAACAATTGTAAACCGCTTTGAGACTCCGATGTGCAGTGAAAAGGCGGTATATAAATAAAGATTACTACTACTACTAGTTGAAAATCAAGAATGTGTTTATTAATTCAAATTTGTTTTACGTAACTTTCCCTCTTCTTTTTTTGTACAGTATATAATGTACAGTAACTTATAAAGAGAAAAACTTCTCTTTATAAGTTACTGTACATTATATATGTATTAGACAATGCCAGTATTATTCTGTAATCATGCAGTATATTATTAAATCACGCAGTAATAAATATCCACGCACAACCAACATGTATTTTTAATGCAAGAGGAAAATTAGGCACCCAAGCTTTAATTTTGTGAGTTTTGGTTGCGCATAGGAGACACGGGAGACCTGCACTTGCAACAAGCTGGGGATTGTCCTGAACGCGTGCCAATGTTTCTGTCTGCGTATGGTCCTGTCCGCGTGTCTATGGTCCTGTTTATGGTCTTGTCCGCGTGTCTATGGTCCTGTCCGCGTGTCTATGGTCCTGTTTATGGTCTTGTCCGCGTGTCTATGGTCCTGTCCGCGTGTCTATGGTCCTGTCCGCGTGTCTATGGTCCTGTCCGTGTGTCTATGGTCCTGTCTGCGTGTCTATGGTCCTGTCCGCGTGTCTATGGTCCTGTCTGCGTGTGTCCGCGTGTCTATGGTCCTGTCCGCGTGTCTATGGTCCTGTCTGCGTGTGTCCGCGTGTCTATGGCCTGTCCGCGTGTCTATGGTCCTGTCCGCGTGTCTATGGTCCTGTCCGCGTGTCTATGGTCCTGTCCGCGTGTCTATGGTCCTGTCCGTGTCTATGGTCCTGTCCGCGTGTCTATGGTCCTGTCCGCGTGTCTATGGTCCTGTCCGCGTGTCTATGGTCCTGTCCGCGTGTCTATGTCTGTCCGGTCGTCGCGTGTCTATGGTCCTGTCCGCGTGTCTATGGTCCTGTCCGCGTGTCTATGGTCCTGTCCGCGTGTCTATGGTCCTGTCTGCGTGTCTATGGTCCTGTCCGCGTGTCTATGGTCCTGTCCGCGTGTCTATGGTCCTGTCCGCGTGTCTATGGTCCTGTCCCGCGTGTCTATGGTCCTGTCCACGTGTCTATGGTCCTGTCGCGTGTCTATGGTCCTGTCCGCCCACGTGTCTATGGTCCTGTCCGCCCACGTGTCTATGGTCCTGTCCGCGTGTCTATGGTCCTGTCCGCCCACGTGTCTATGGTCCTGTCCGCCCACGTGTCTATGGTCCTGTCCGCGTGTCTATGGTCCTGTCCGCCCACGTGTCTATGGTCCTGTCCGCGTGTCTATGGTCCTGTCCGCGTGTCTATGGTCCGCGCTCAGAGCCCCGTTACAGCAGTGCGTTCACTGAGCTGTCACAGCGGGTGTCACAAAGCGGCTGCAGCTGCTCCCGGGGTCAGAGCGGAGGATGTAACGTAACGTTCGGTTTATCAAAACATATCACAATTTTTTTATGTATAAAACTAGTGAATTTCACCTAGATATTTTCAGAAATTAAAGACAAGATGTTATATAATAATTATTTAATGAAAAGACAATTTTGCCAGATAAATGACAATCGACCTATTTTTACTATTTACTCGAAACGTGTCAGCGCGACATCCGACGGGTTTTCCCAGATCGCATCACATATTATTTATTTCTCTTTTGATGGCACATGGTTCATTAATGCGTGAAGGAAAAGTGAAACATGAAAAAGAGATGAGAACGTATTTTCATTATCAACATTGTTGTCTATATCTAGCTTTAGCTGTAAACCTATTCCTCCTTGGAGGGTGGTTGACTGCAGGAAGAAGCAGGGCTTAAAGACATGTTTCTGGTGACCCGGCATGACCATCTATGTCTGTGACACTAAATAAATAATTTTTTGACAAACATTTATAAATACAGCACACAGTATGGCGGATGCTTCACCTCAGCGTGGCACTGCCCTGGCTTACCCGTTGGCTTGACAGAAAAGAACTGGTTGTCCCCCCTCCCGGTGCTCCTGCCAGGGTCACGTCAGTCCATGCATTCACATTTCACAATCACGCTCCATGATTCCTTATCTTGCGCAAACGCTCACTTTCTACACTGTCATACTTCCCGCATTCAACGCTCTCTTCACACCCTCATTTCATCCATACTTCTCGGTCTACTACCACTCATAAAACCATTCGTCACTCTCTTTGCCAATCTCTCTTCATTCATCCTCTGCATATGCGTGTACCATCTCAACACTGCTCTACCAGCCAGGTCACCTGACGCCTGTTCTCTCCCTCACTGTTACATTCCTCATTCTCTCCATCTTTGTCACAACTATCATACTTCTCAAGTCAGGATGTAAAAAACTATGAATTTTCATGACCGACCACCGGGCCTCATTAACCGGTTGAAACCGGTTAACCACGTAGTTTAAAATAGTCCACGTTCTTTGAAATAACAGCCATTTCGAGCGGCGTACTTTTCATGAGAGCAGCTCTGCGTTCTACAGGATCAGAGGCGAGACAGCGGCGCCAAAACCCGCAACAGCTTTGGCACCTTTGTGCACAGAAAACTGCTGTTTTAATCTTCCCATTCTGCTGTGCTGCAGCATTTTTAAGCAAAAGACGGCTCGTTCACATGGTCAGAGCAGCGAGTGACGCGCCGCGTCTCGCAGGTCTCCGCTAAAGTTTAAAAGTGATGTGTGTGGAGCTGATGCCAAGGACCAGCAGCACAAACATGGTCCATGTGGTTTGACTGGAGCCGTGTATTTGCGAGGATTCTTTAGGGCTGCGTGACACAGAGGAGCGCGACAGACCAGTATGTGTGTGTGTACAATGTTTGTATGTATGTGTGTGTGTGTGTGTGTGTGTGTACGATACATGTATGTTTGTGTGTGTGTGTGTGTGTACAATACATGTATGTATATATGTGTGTGTGTGTGTACAATACATATATGTGTGTGTGTGTATAAATATAAGCTCCAATGTAGTTCTGACCCGCACCAGTGTGCAACTAGCAGACGGTAACAGAGGGGAGAGATAATGCATGTGGATGTCCGAAAGTGTGTATGTGCTAGTGTGTGTGTGCGCGCGTGTGTGCGTGTGCATGTGTGCGTGCATATGTGGCGCATGCGGCGTGAGGGTCGGCCCGGAGTTTACTGATACATTGGCGCACACAGCTAGATAGGACCCACTCGTCACATCATGCAAATAGGGCTTAAAATAGCGTTATGAAGAGACCTCCTCTCTCCCCTTTTTCTCTTTTTTAACCGACAGCTTTGACCGGTTAACGCTGTGACGGTCAACCACCGGTTAAACAGTCACCAATTTACATCCCTATTCTCAAGCATTTCATTTCAAACACATTACATTTCCTCCTTTCACTTAAACCCCATGCTTCTTCCACATCATACAACACAGTCAGCATTATCACCCTCTCACCACTGTAAGCAATTTCTTATTTGAAATAAGAAAAATATCCACTGTGCTTCGAACTCAATCCGCTCCTGCCTTTTCCGATTTTGTAACCGTCAAAAGACAAAGGAGACATAGCACTCCTGCTGTTATTCAGTTATTTTAGTTGTATTTCTAATGCTCTTATTAGAGCTCTAAACAGCTGGATTTTATAATATTGTACGATAATTTATTTTTGTAAAGGAAACCATGTTATCTTTGCCGTCACTTATATTCATTTACTTTCTCTCTACCTGTAACAGATCGGACCATTTTGTACCTGACTCAATGCACTTTGCACTTTTAGGGTTAAATATGTTTTATTTTCTAGAGTCGTGTCCCAGGAACGGTCATCCCTCTGTGTGCAGCTCAGTATGAAAGGATGTTCAACACCACACGGACCCCAGGACTGGAGACGGGTGAGACAGACACAGTTCAGTCCAACTCTAGCCAAGACTACTGGCGGCTATATACAGGGCTTAAAGACTTCATGCGCCATGCCGGAAATCTGGCGTGCGTCATGTGACCCGGTATTCTGTTGAGTTGGTCTGCCCGTCGAGATGAGCTCCCTCAGCTGTTAATGATGTAATGCAAACCTGCACTGCGCGTCTCACGGAAGCCAAAGCAAACAAAGATGGCGGACATGAAGTCTGCGAATTGCTTTAAAAGTTAAAACACGAACCAATTAAGACACGAATGTCACTTTTAATGCAATTTGAGGCGAGATGTTGATGCTTCTTGTGTTGTGATATGTGGGTTTTAAGATAAGAGTTTTGTGTAAAGTTTGTTTTAAGCAGTCAACTGCTCCTGTGAAACTACATTGCTGCTGTAACCCAAATCTGATTTGCGCATGCGCAGAAACCCGACAGAATGGGGAAAAAAACTCGGATCTAATGAAATATTTTGTTGAATCGTTTGAATACAGCATGATACATGCATTAAATTAAATTAATTATTTCCATTATCAACCCGACAGACCAGTCACAGGACACGCCATTGGCCTACGTCAGTAAAATGTGCAGCAGTCAACTCGGGGACTGCTATCACACAGCAGCAGTGTGGTTTATATATATATATATATATATATATATATATATATATATATATATATATATATAAATATTGTAGGTATCTGTTTATTTGTAATAGATTAAACCTAATTAATTTTGAAGGGATAAGTTATTTAAACTTATTTATTAATATTTAAGTTATTTAAATCCTAAGGCACCAGTCTTTGAGAAGACAAAGTTTTTAGCGATTACATTACTTCAGTCTCATTTAACATGCGCTGCAAAAGCTTTGTTGACTGTGATTTATTCACCAAGGCAATTGTAATCAAATTAACGCAGTAGTTTAATTCCGTAATTACAGTACACTTATACTATAATATTCTGGGCCAGAGTTTGAGTCATCGATAAGACCCAAAACGAGTCTGTAAGCTCAGTCCAAACAGTTAGCAGCGGTCCTACTTTTTGTTCTTTCCGTTTTGTTTTAGAGAGTCCGAAGTGCACACTTTTGCACACTTTTGCGTTTCGTTCCGTGTGTGATTTATATTTATATAATTTGGTTTATGTCCTCAACATTCAGAAGTTTTGTTTAGACAAACTTGTGTGGTTGCCAGCTTGTGCCTCTCGTGCACTTTTTATCCTCACATATTATTGTTTACTGCTTAGGTTGTTGTTAAAAGACGACTGTGGGTGGAGCTGTAATTACTTTGTGAACATGTTTCGGCCGCAGAGCTGGAAGCCATCAGAACTGTCCCATTGTCAGCCTGGTCCGTCTCATTGACCCAACTCCTCCCACTTTTCAACAAGAACCAAAAGACAAAATGAACATTCTTGTACTTACTGTAATTATTTTTGATAGGACAGAAATTGTTAACAGAAACTATAGAAATAGATTTATTTTTCTTGTTTGCTTACTTTAACGGAAGAGAATGAGCTGACAATGGAAACATGTGTTATTGTGTTACTTGCAGATGTGCTGCAACATTGGCAGGACAGCGAGTATGTGGCCGTGTACCATAAGGGACGCTTCTTCCGTTTATGGGTGTACAGCGCAGGACGACTGCTCACCCCCCGAGAGATTGAGCAACAGATGCAGAGGATTCTGGACGATGACTGTCCTTCTCTGCCGGGGGAGGCTAAACTGGGCGCCCTCACTGCTGGAGACAGGTGCAGACGCAGCGCTGTCGATTTGACAAAAAACATCTGTTATGAGTCTGAATCACATCTTGTTCTCAGTTTGCAGGGTTGGAATGCCAAGAACGTTATAAATTACAAACAATGTTTTCAATTTTGGCTAAACTCTCATTCACCTCACATTAAAGTGATTGTCTGGAGTTTGTCAGAAAGAGAGACAGAGAGGTACTTGATTTGAAAAAAACTACGCAAGCTCCCTCCCCCTTCCTTTCTGATTGGTCTACACCTACGTTTCCGTAACACTTTGAAATGTTAATCAGAGAACACATTATACATATACATTATTAATACACATGAAATGAAATTCATGAAAAAAATTAATGTTTTTATGCACAAAAAAAGCGATCGCGGCAAACCAGGAAGTGCTATTATAATGAATTGCACATTATAGGACACATCTGCAGAGGATCTGATTATGGATATAGGTTCAGTATATAAATGATGATGGATATAGGTTCAGTACATACATAAGTACCTCAGCGCGGATGTTCAGAATTCTTTGTTCAGTTTTCATGTAGTTCCAGAGCCTAATAGAGGCTTGATTCGGAGGCTCCGCGAAAACAAACAACTAAGCATGCGCACAGCTGCGAGCATCAGCGCCGATGATTGACAGCCCTTGGCATGACTCGATTGGTTAACCTCGACGGCACCGTGGATTCTGAACTATAGCTAAGAGCAGGGAAGGCGGGACTTGCCCGTAATATTAGAATTAATAAAATGACTTATTTTATATCAACATAGGGCCAGGAGGTCAATTTAACACATTTCCTAAAATTTGTAATTCATTTAGAGTTACAGACTATCACTTTAAGAAGGCCCTATAAATGACACTGTGTATTTCATTCCCACTAGAGTTCCCTGGCATCAGATGAGAAAGCAGTACTTCAGTTCTGGAATTAACAGACGCTCGCTTGACATCATTGAAAAAGCTGCGTTCTTCGTCACTTTGGATACTGAGGAGCAAGGCATGAGAGGAGACGACCCGGCGGGGAACCTGGACCGCTACGCCAAATCACTGCTGCATGGGAAATGTTATGACAGGTGAGCATATGCTTGTTACTGCTTGTGTTACTGCAGGTCCATACTTATTTGACATACTGCTCTCACATGTTTGACTCTGTACTCTGCGACAATGGATTTGAAATTAAATTAATCAATGAAAGTGTGAGCTTTAGTTTGGGGGCCTTTACATACAAATTACCATTACCAAGTACCATTTCTGGACTATAAGCTACTACTTGTTTCTAGTTCTAGTTTTTTACTATATAGCTTATATAGCGATGCAGCCAATATAGCAATGCGGCTAATATGTGTATTTTGTATGATTTTATGTGTCGTGTCAGAGTTTTCTTTTAAAATGTAGTTGGTTCGGCTTATATACAGATATCAAGCCGCTAGAAGACTGAAAACTCATCAGAGAGATGACCCTTCTGCATCTGGAGGGAGTTGTTTATTTGTTACTGCAGGATGATCAGTGATGATCCTGGACATTTAAGGTTTTTTTAATTTTTAATTTTTAAACGTATGGCTCCTATGTGTTTGTTTTTATTAGATTTCCTGTGTTTGATCTGTTTGATCCTCTGGTCTGTTGTTGAGGATTCAATTATCTACAGCAGGTTCTCAAAGGGCTGGTGAAATGAGTCCAGTCTTAATGAGTTGAGTGTTGTGTGCTTTTGCTTTGTTGGAATGAAATCCTGCAGCCACACCGTCCCTTTCTGGAACCAGTTTGACACTTCTGATCTAAAACAAACAACCAAAGCCCCCAAATAATCCATCCATCCATCCATTTTCTACCCTTTAATCCATTTCTGGGTCAGGGGGGTGGCAATCAGAGATGCCACCCAAGTCTCATAGCACCAGCCCCTCACTGACCCTCTGCAGGTGGTGAGTCCACAGGAGGACGGCTGCTCTCTGAGTGTGAGCATAGCCTTGATCTTTCAGTGGGGGCTTTGGGCAAAGTGGGGTTAAGTGTCTTGCCCAAGGACACAACGACAGCAGTCATCAGTGGGAGTCGGTGGAGAAGGTGTAGAGGTGGGAAATGAACCCACGACCTTCAGGCCTGAAGGCCCATGCTCTACCAACTGAGCTACTGTCGCCCCCAATCCATCCATTTTCTACCCTTTAATCCATTGCTGGGTCAGGGGTGAAAAGCCCCCAAATAATGAAATGGAATATTATACAATGGCCAAGTCAATCACATAACCTGAGTCAGATTGAGAAGCTTTTCACTTGCTGAAGACAAAACTGAAGAAAATGCTCCAAACTGATGAAAATGAACAAGCAGGAACTTGAACCCGACAGAGGCCTAGCAGAGCATCACCAGGGATGAAAGTCCTTGACACTGGCGCCCTGTAATTAGGGGTGGGCGATATGGGCAAGAATAAACATCTCAATATTTTTTTCCCTACTCCCGATAACGATATTGTCACATATCTTTAAAATCGTTCATTTTAGATTTGACACGGCCCGCGGCTCATTTATGTAAAATTATATATATATATTTTTTTTTAATCCGCCACAGCGCCGCGCTCAGCAGTGAGTCCAGTGCGTCTGTAGTGGCTCCACCAGAGCGGTGCTTAAGGAATATCATCTTAAACTACGAGACTCGGCAAAAAATACGGCACTTTGAGCGGAGAATTAAGAAGACATAAGATAAACATTTCTGGCCCTGAAGACACAGCAGTCTGTTTGTGCCCAGAGCGAGAGGTCAGTGCTGCGGCTGTAAAGACAAGCTACCTGTGCTAAGAACATCAGCATTAGCATTGCAGCCGCACAGTGAGAGAGAGTTTGTTAAAACTCTCACAGGCTGCAGACATGGTATGAGAACCCACTCGCTGTCACCAACATGTTGCCATTGATGAGAGACTGATGTCACTGATGTCGCATATTCATTTGTGGTGTTACTGAAACTATCAGAGGAGTTTTGAGCTTTGGTGATGGTGCTGCTGCTGGTGCTGCTGTTGTTGCTGGTGTGTTGGACAGTGTGGACTGGTCCTGCGCCTGGTACCGATGGTAAAGACAGGTGTAGTGACAAATGGAGGTGATGATTTTTGGACATTTGACTGTGTTTTACACAGAGACACTGCTGCAGTCGTTAAGAATGGATCACGTTATGGAAGTTGTTTTGTTCATTTCAACTGAATCATGGTCAGTTTGATGTTTTCTCTCTGATAATAACATAAGTGGACCTTACCACACTGAAGATGGTTAATGTGATAATAACATAACCATGGACCTTACCACACTGAAGATGGTTAATGTGATAATAACATAACCATGGACCTTACCACACTGAAGATGGTTAATGTGATAATAACATAACCATGGACCTTACCACACTGAAGATGGTTAATGTGATAATAACATAACCATGGACCTTACCACACTGAAGATGGTTAAGCTGAGGTGCTGTGTTAAAGTGCTTTTTTTCTATCTACCTACTTTACCTTTGTGAGTAAGTTTTCTCTGTAATGAGCCTTAAAACAAAGCTAACATACAAATATTAATATACACATTGTGAAATACCATTTTCAATGTAATATTGTACACGAAATACATTACATTATTTGCACTATGAAAAACTCAGTTACATTTAAGTTTGTAACAGAAAACTGAGTATTAAAGGACAGTGTTTTAAAGGAAGTTTTAAATAAATGTGTTTATGTGCACAAAAAGTTGGACTTTGTACCGTTTTTGGGTATTTTCTGGTCCGGCCCATTTGAGATCCAATTAGGTTGAATGTGGCCCCCGGACCAAAATGAATTTACACCCCTGATCTAGACAGTCAACATGCACAAACACATACTGCCCTGCACAGCTTCAGAAGTATGAAGGGATCTGGCTTTTGGCCACTGTTTATACAGTTGGATCAATGCATTACATCAGCCAGAGTTGGCCCCAAACCAGAGCGAGAATGAGATAACAGGAGACTATTCCACTGTTATTCAAGATCATTTCTGATATTTTTCCAAATCTTTCAGGTGGTTTGATAAATCCTTCTCCATTGTTGTCTACAAGAACGGAAAGAACGGTCTGAACGCTGAGCACTCCTGGGCCGACGCACCCACAGTGGCTCACCTTTGGGAGGTACGTTTGTAGAGGCTTTGATTTGTATTAATTTCTGAAGTTCGAACTTTTGTCTGAGGAGATGGATGAAATATGTATATACAACATCCAGAGGAAACACATACAGATGTAGGGTGAGAAAATGTCGATATCACACATAACTTAAGTTATGTACCTGATATCGGAGAATTGGATCAAAAACAACCATGTAATAAATACAATTATTGATAATAGCTTTATTTAGGGGCACCAGGGAATAACTCCCAACTGATAACGTGCATATGACGTCACAATATCAGTTAATTGGCTCATTTATTGATTAAGTAATCTCATAAGTCCTTTCATTATTTAATTAGCTAATTAGTCCAATTCTCTTCAATAGAATCTGAAGGTAGTGAATTCTTTTACAAATCAGTGACCCAATTTCTGGAGTTAAAAGTACAAATATCACTTTCAGACAAAGATGGTTTTGTAGATTTAATGAAGTATACACAATACAGACTAGATATGAAATATGCAAATTGTCAAGAATAACATGAAGGAAACGTTGATTTCAAGATACATTGTTAAAATGCTAGGCTAAAGTGAGCTAAGCAAGACCTTTGTCTATGAATGGATTGGTATAGGCTGAGGCCTGCATGTGTTCAGCCTTGGTAAGAGAAGTATTCTTTGAAGTATAGGTTTTAATAAAGCCAACAACTGTGTGTAGCAAGAGAGCAGATCATACAACCAGAATAGCCTTTGGTGAATAGCAGTCCTTGGGTCTTGATGGTGTTGGATGGAGGCTTCTTGTCCACGGGCAGAGCCCAGGGAGGTCTGGTCACTCCGTGGTTCCAAAGCAGACTGGTTTTTCTTCCCTGTGGGTCCTTGTAAATCTTCACATCTGGTAGAGTCGTTGGGGGAAGGGTGTTGCCATGGCACTTATCTTAAGACATTCTTACCCACAATAAAACCTGAACCACAAGGATTTACACACAGTGGAGACAGAAGTTATAATATTTCTCAATATACAACAAAATGTCTTTGATTGAGGAAAGAGGTCATTTTAATTTCTCCTACACAGACACGGGGAGAACATGCAAACTCCACACAGAATGGCCCTGTGCTAACTGGAAATTTAACCCAGAACCTTCTTGCTGTGAAGCGAGTGCTAACCGCTGCACCACCGTGACAAAATTAATTGTCCCATTTCGGATGTTTCCTGAACGTGCTCTTCATGTACGTGTTTGCGTTATGTTGCTGACAGAGACAGACAAACCCTGAGAAAAAAGCTCAGATTTTGGTTTTGAAAAGCTGTCTGTGTGCGTCCTCAGTTCACTTTGGCCACAGATGCCTTCCAGTTGGGCTACACGCAAGACGGACACTGTAAGGGAGAGGTGGACCGTACCCTGCCCCCTCCGCAGAGGCTCCTGTGGGACATTCCAGAGGAGGTAAAGCACACAATGAAACTTTAGTGTTGACAAAACTCTGCACTCTTCATTTTATTGTGTTTTCAAATGACTATAGTGAACAAAGGCTTGAAATAATACATAAATAAATACATATTTAAAGGTCTAATAAAGATAAGTATAAGACAATTTTTTTTTTCTTCTTACTGTTTATTTGTCAAATGTTTGTTATGCTTTATTATTTCTTTCTTTCAAATTCCACTGTTTGATAACTGCCCTTTGCGTCCGTTTGCATTAGATGAATGTACAAAGTATGTAGGAGATTCTTGACATACTGCTGTGACAAAAGGAATGTCCCCCACAAAGACTCTCTTCATTAATAATTGGCAGCGAACAGGAAGTTATTTGACCTACAAACCAGAGAATGATCGTACAGGTTTCACTTAGTGAATGGTGTTTGTGTTTCTCTACGACAGATGCACATTTGACAAAAGTATAGTGTGAATTCAATCATACAATTTTCATTCTTTAGTAGTAAACCAGAGTTTCCAGATGTAGTTTTTTAAATATTGTGGGCAAACGTCCCTAAACCCTAAAAGTAGTCAAGTTATCATGTGTTTTCAAATAGTAATGGAATTGGCCATTGATGCCTGTAGTCTGCAAAAATTATAAAAATATATTTTGGAGCTGACCGATAAAAATAAACCAATAGGGTTCGTTTATCCCCAACGAACCAATGGGATGCGTTTACCCCCCTTTACCCTCTTCCTGTTTCTCGCGTTATCGGATTTTCTAAAACCTAAAAGGACTAAAAAGCCAATTTCACCACTCACCCAGTCTCCCTGTTGTGACAAAGAAAAGAAAATGCTGGATGTTTGGTTTGGTGGAGAGGAGAGGGGAGGGGGAGTAGTTTCGAGTTGGTGCCAGTGACGTAGGCTCATTTATGTAAAATTATATATATATATATATATATATATATATATATATATATATCCCAGGCCCGCCCACTTTTTTGATTGGCCCAGGACCTGGCCCACCCTGAGAAAGCTTGCATGATTTTTCTCACAATTTTTTTTCTTTTATTCACTCTTCAAAAAAATGCTTAACATTGACATTCAAACCAAAGCCTTTAAAAATGTCTTAATAAATGATTAGATGTTCACAAGCCGCGCCTCCTCCTCGCTTCCACAGCAGCAGCACGTGACCCTCATCTCTCTGCTGTGATTGGCTGAGTTCCACCTGCACTCAAAATAGCGAAGCGCCAAACTCTACGAGTAGCTACTGTTTACTTTCAGTAAAGTCCGTCTGGGAGCCCTTTCTGAAAAGTGATCAGTGAAGCCGTGTAGCCAGTGTCAAGAAACGCGTTTCCCCTGAGCCTCGTAAAATGTGAGTAATCAGAGAAAATGATTGTGGATCTATCTCCATTCATCACATTTACATAACTGCACTGCACTGAAACTCAGGCTGCACACAGACAGAGACAGAACCGACTCCATTTGAGAAACGGGGGGTTTAAAGGCTGAAACAATACTTCCAGTGTTCCTCCACTCTGTGTGACAGTCAGACTTCTATATTGAATATTTTTTTGCTTCTGTAATGTCATTGATGGGCTGTGCCCTCTTAGATGCGTGTGTGCGCAATCGCGCTGTTCTTTTGGGGTCTTGTTATAAAACATCCATGGTCTCAGCGCACAGAAAACTCTGTCCTGCACAAAATAATAACAGCGTCCTGTGCCGCACAAACGACACAGCCGCGTGTTTCTACAGTTATATGGACCGCAGTGGATCTGTGCGTCCAGGCCCCATTCAGAGTCATAGCTCTCTGTCTGTGACGATGAGGAACACTGTCCGTGAGCGCGGACAGTCTGAAGCTGCGTTTGATCCAGAACAGAGCTAGGACCAACCTCACTCTGCATTCCGCGAACCGCAAATGCGGACTCGGTCTGGCCGTGGACTCGCGAGCAGTGTCTCACAAGCGCTACACCAGCTGCTGTGGTGTGTGCGTTGAGCTACACACACGCACATACACGCGCACACACGCACACACACATGAGGGGACACTTGAGTCTGAAGAACAGGAGTCCTGCTTACGTCTCTCTCTGTCCAAAGTGCCTCCATCACTTTGCTGTGGTTTTATTGTTAGTGATGATCTTTTCAATAATGATAAGATTCAGTTCAGCTCAAAGGCCTAAAATAAAGTTGGTTTTGTGGTAATTTGACTATTAAGATAATAAATGTATGTGATTTGTTTTATAATGCGATATATATATTATTTTGACTAAATATAATAATGTATAACATTTATTAAGACTCTAAAGGTTAAATACTGCCAAATATTTTCCTAAATCTACTTCAATTTACCATTGTTTATACTTTAGCTAATTAGCGCCTATCCACTACAGTCTATGCTGTTCACTAAAAGCTGTCACACCGAGGAGGCACGTCTGCAGGTATTATTGGATATCATATTGATTTTTCCTCTGGCAAAAGTTGGCCCGCCCACTTTTCTCCAGGCCCGCCCTATTCAACATTTCTGCCTACGTCCCTGGTTGGTGCTAAGGCTAAGCTAACAACATCGCTTACTGCACCTTTAAGCATTGCACCATTGTGTTTTATTAAAGACATCTGGAATATTGCAAACAATCCTTCTTCAGTCCTGCACCGGACCTGTCCACGTTCAGCGTCCACTGGTCCACGTTCTGTAGCTAGCTTAGGTCCTGGATCATTAGCCTGTCCGTCCGGAGGAGCGGATCCCTTTCTCAAATGGGTCTCCCTCCCTGTGGGTTTCCCTAGTTCTCCCCAAGGTTTCTCACTTTTTCCCACTGGGTTTTTTAAGAGTTTTTCCTTGTGGATGCAGGAGGGTCTTGTTGGACAGTTAGTGTCCAACAGAAAGGATTGGTGATGATCAGGACACTTTAGCATTCTACAACATGTATGGACATCTTTTTGTGTGTGTGCTTTATATTTTTCATGTGTTTAACTGTTGATTTTCTGATCTGTGTTGTTAAGTCCTCTGAGATGACTTCTGTTGTGACTTAGGGCTATACAAGCAATAAATTGTATTGTATTGTATTGTAAATATGTCTCTTGTCAGTGGACAGTTCTCAAAAACACTGTTGCTGTTTTCTTGCAGCTGCCTTGGCCCCAAACTTGCTTTTTAAATGAAACATTGCGTACCCTACACTTGAACATGATTAATTAAGCCTTTCTCCATGTTTTCTCTGCAGGTCCAGACACAGATTGGCAAGTCTCTCGCTGTGGCCCAAACCCTGGCGGATGACGTGGACTGTCATGTGTTTCCCTTCAGACAATTTGGCAAAGGTCGAATAAAGAAACTGCGCATCAGCCCAGACGCCTTCATCCAGATCAGCCTGCAGCTCGCATACTTCAGGGTACAGAGAATATCCCGAAGTGCTGCATAGACGCTATGAGCACCTTTTCAAAGCATACGAAAAAAATGAGTTTTGTTTTCCATGTCCATGCGCCCCACAAAGAAGCCTCACTAGGATCCAGGCCAGGGGTGTCAAACTCATTTTGGTCCGGGGCCGAATAAAAAAGATAGGAATTGATACGGGGGCAAACTAACAGGGATTTCCGTTTGTTATGATTGATTTCTACATAATGAAGGTATTTTGACATGACTTTTATGTGACATGGGATTCACTATAAGGTTTTTATTGATTTAGATCCAAAACTGGACCAAATATAAATTGAAACACATTGTTTCCAAGGCCCTAACCATCAATTCTGCAAGTTAATAATTATAGTTGAAACTCATAAAAAGAAAAGAAAAGATCTACATAACCTTTTTTTAAATGGCCACTCTATACAAGTACACACCATGGGCAGTAAAGGGAGGGAGTACGTTTCCTCTGTAGTAGAACATTAACCATTTACATAATACATTTACTTTGTATAGCCCTAAATCACAACAGCAGCCGTCTCGTCTTCCTGAACACATGTAATGAGGTGCAGGGTAGAGACGGCTCCCAACTACATTTTATTTCGTTTATTTAAGAAAAGTATGCAGATTGCTGTTGTCCTTAATAAGAACCAGCAGAGGGTTGTTAAGACACACTGGCACGTTTTGCATTGGAGGTTTCAGACAAATCTATATTTTGTTGATATCATTAAGTGATGGTGAAGTGTCTGCTCAATATCCCATTGAGCACATCCGTCTCCAAGATCTCACTCTCCTCTCCTCCCTTCCATTTCTTCCTGAGTGTTAAAATACTGGGCCGTAGTGTTTTGGGTAAAATAACTTCTCATGTTTGGCTTCTGCTTAAGGCTCAATTATGATGTACATTTTTCATTGCTTTAATCAATTAAGTTTGTGTAAGCTCTCAGTCGTACAGGGATTAGTCAAAGCAAAGGAAGGTTTCTCACCCATCATCTGCACTTCTTAGCAGGTTTTCCCGACGTTTCGTCCTCAATCCAAAGGACTTCTTCAGGGAATGAATTCTCAGACCGCGCGTTGGAGATTTATAACCTAATCCTGATACTAACTCATAAACAATCTAAGGTCTGTTTGATGTAGAAGGGAGCAGGTCTAACGGCCCTGCTGAGGCTAACGACCCTAACTCATTAGCATGTCACTGACCTTGTCCCAAGTTAGGGCGTTGTTTTTAGGATGTCGTCATAGATGCGAGGCAAAACAAATCTTAACCCTCCTCTGTTAAGAGGGGTGGCTTCTTTCACCCCTCTCTCAAACCAATTCTTCTCCCGAGCCAGAATTTTAACCTCTGTGTCATCCACCGTGTGGTTGGAGGCCTTGAGGTGGAGATGAACAGCCGACTGTGGCCCACTAGAGTTTTCTCTACGATGTTGGTAAAGTCGTTTTTGTAGTTTGTTTAGTTTTTCCGATATAGTGGTCAGTGCACTCCTCTTCACTACATTTAATTGAATACACCACATTGCTCTGTTTGTGTCTGGGTGTTTTGTCTTTGGGATGCACTAATTTCTGTCTTAACGTGTTGAAAGGTTTGAAATACACAGGGATTTTGTGTTGCCTAAAGATTCTTTGTAGTTTCTCTGAAACTCCCGCCACATACGGTAAGGACACTCCTCTCCTCCTACTTTCTTCTGTCTGTAGGACTGTGTCTCTGGCCTTTCTCGTCCTTTGGGCTTTAGTAAAAGACCACTTGGGGTAGCCACATCTGGAAAGGGCTCTCTGATCAGACCTTAGATTGTTTATGAGTTAGTATCAGGATTAGGGTGTGGCTAATCACACCCATAGGTTATAAATCTCCAACGCGCGGTCTGAGAATTCATTCCCTGAAGAAGTCCTTTAGATTGAGGATGATACGTCGGGAAAACTTGCTAAGAAGTACAGATGATGGGTGAGAAACATTCCTATGCTTTAATCAATTAAGTCAATCAAAAATGAGAAACATCTTGGAGGCCCACATTGAGGGAGGAATCCGCTCCTACGGACGGACAGGCAGTAGATCATACACAGACATCAGTTCCTCAAATCATTCTAGTATTTCTATAACACCTTAAATGCATCTGCCAGCCTTTTCTCCAAACGATCCGGTTTATATGGTTACAACACAAACACGCAGTAGAAACAGTTCGATCTACTTTTGCACACCGGTTTAAAGGCTTAGCTCTACATCAAATTCAATCGGGCAAGGCGAAGGATCCGGTTTTCATTCGTGCTTTGTAAATGTACTCAATTGATCATTTTGCAACAATTTGTAATCTGGCCTTACAATGATTACTTTTCAAACATCCAGGACCGCGGCGGTTTCTGCTTGACGTATGAAGCCTCCATGACTCGTCTGTTCAGAGAGGGCCGCACTGAGACCGTCCGCTCCTGCTCCAACGAGACCTGTGCCTTTGTCAAAGCCCTGGAGGAAGGAGAGGTAAAATACAGCAGCTTCAAGCGACTGTAAGATTATAATTATGACTGTATGCATGACTTTTATTGTGTGATTGTGTGGTTTGGCCAGGCAGAAGAGCAGTGCAGACGGCTGCTCAGGCAGGCGTCGGAGGGGCACCAGAATCTTTACCGTATGGCCATGACGGGAGCAGGCATCGACAGGCACCTCTTCTGTCTCTATGTGGTCTCAAAATACCTGGGAGTGGATTCGCCATTCCTCAAAGAAGTAAGAACATGTCTCAACTGTTAAAAAGTTAAAAAAAAAAAAAAATTATACAAATAGGGTAAAAGCTAAAGCAACATTTATTTAATACAGAGTAAAGTAAGTATCTAGTCATTTTGATAATCAAGACTAAAACGGATTCATGGAACAACCAAATATGCTCTTATTAATTATTTCATGTTTTTTTAAATGATTGATGCTCATTGACTTGTTCTATGGATAGAAACAAGTTGCAAGGAAGTGTCTACTTTTTGTTTTTCCTTTTTGCACTTTACTGACAGCAGAAAGAAAGGCTTTAGCACAATCTTTGAAATTCACATACCTCAGCTTTAAGTATCTACTTTCAATACAATAGTTGCATTTTTTAGTATTAAATGGTCCTCCCCAGACAATTGTACGGGCTTCCAAATTACTTCCTGTTTACATTAACTCATTGACTGCCAGCCATTTTTGATGACTTCACTGATTTTCAACAGAATATTGTGTGCTATGATTATGAGAAATATGAAAACAGAGTCTAAAAGACTGGACTGTCGACTCTCAGCAGCAAATCAAAGTTTGTCTCTAGCTTGTTTCGTTCTCCTGTAATCAGGGATTAAAATTGAAATTAAAATGAATGGATAATAATGAGATTGCTGTGAAAATATATATAATATCAAAGCAGTGTCAGACAAACACACAGGCTCTGTTTATAAGCTTGAACCAGCCCTCGCTCCCTCTCTGCAGGTTTTATCAGAGCCCTGGCGCCTGTCCACGAGCCAGACCCCCATTCAACAGATTGAACTCTTTGACATCAAGAACCACCCTGACTACATTTCCCTTGGAGGCGGATTTGGACCTGTGAGTTGTTTATCCTTCTCTCGGTTCATTTAGTTTTTCAGATATGGCGATAATCTCTTGTTTGCCTGAACTGGTGGAGTTTTTGTTAGAATACTTTTTTATCTGCAGGTCGCCGATGATGGATACGGAGTGTCATACATTATTGTCGGAGAAGACATGATCAACTTTCATGTTTCGTCAAAGCACTCCTGCAAAGAGACAGTGAGTTACATTTGGTTCTTCTATATTTGTATGACAATTTTATGGTTCAAGTGGTTAAACTTTAACATGATGTTTCAACGGTCATTTGGATTTTGTTTTTTTATGGGAATATTTCCGTTACCAGCCCGTTTCAAAGTTTGGAATGTTCTCCCTAGAGTGACTTCTGTTTTTTTCCGTAATTTTGTTCTCTGTGAGCTCATTCCACTTATGTTTCCTCTTTCATCTATAGTGTCGTTCCTGACAAAAGCTTGTGTGTATATACAGTACTAGTGAATTCAAATATCACTGATGCAAGCATGTGTGAGGGCCCTGTGTGTTTTCTATTCCAAACAACCTTAATCAATTCATTATGTTTCACGGTTCATTTCAGTTCCACATTACATTTTGTTTGTTTCTTTGTCTCTCACTTGCAGGACTCACACAGGTTTGGCGCTCAGATTCACAAGGCGCTAGAGGACATCATCACGCTCATGTCGGGGGAGACAAAGTCCAGCGGTGCGTCCAGGGGATCGTCTCAGCCCAAGAAGCAGCTCTGAGGATCTCACACGCACACACACACACACACACACACACACATACACACACACACACACATATGGGGGTGGGCAATACTGACAGCAACCTCCCTCACAATAACCACACAATAACTTTCTTAGTGTTTTATAATCACGTCTGTCAACAATAACACATGCCATACTGTATATTGCCCACCTCTAGCCCCACAACTGGTCTCTTTATTTAGATCTTAGGGTCTAGACTTGAATAACACAAACTAAAGAAAAAATTCACTAGTTTAAAATACGTGCACGTCCAAACACTGATTATTTTTAAATTTCCTGTTATTTTGACTGTCTGACTTGTGTCAAATCAGATGCATTTGTCATTTCATTGTTCTCAATAGACCAATATTCAGCTTGTTTTTCCAGTTTTTTCATTTGCATTTGTGGGAATTATTCCACATATAAAAGGTTTACACTGTGAGGGACATTCAGGTGACCAACACAAATGAGCGTTGTGTGTTTAAAGTTTGTGTTTTAAAGTTTAAGTTAAAGCGTTGACTATATGTGTTTCTTAAGATTGTTGCCACTAAATGATATGGGATTGTCATTCATCCTGAAATGAAAGTAGAAGCAAACAACTGTCGCAAAGAACAAGCTTTCTTTTGCTTTATGTAAATATGTTTTAGTATGAAGCGTGTCTTGTATATAATATTGTGCTTTATTGATAAACTGTAAATGTAAAAGGCCACTGTGTAAGCTTTCAGGTAGAATGTACAGAACGTTCTGGTCGCCATGGAGATATTAGTGCACCGCAAAACAGCTTAAAGGTGTCCTGGAAATTAGCGTGGACCATGTTTGTAAAGTAAAAGCATTCACTGTGTAACTCCAGTGTTTATCCCAACTATTTAAAGCCGTGGGAAAACGATCGTATGGCACACCACCAGCTAAAAATAAACTCAGCAGCCTGTATTAAGAGTGATTATTCGTTCCACAGAGGGGAACTTCCGTGGGACAGAAATTCCCCTCTGCATCGCCAGTTACACAATGGTAGGAATGAGTAGCACACAGCACAAGATACATGAGCGATAACTCTTTGCTAAATAAAATAAAAAAGTATAAAATCTCTATCTTTAGCAGTTCAAAGTCATTCTCATCAAAGTGTAGTAACTAGAAAATGAAACAGGCACGGACAAGTCTTTCTATGCTTCTCACATAATTTCTTCTTTCTGATTGGTCAAGGCACTCTAACGTCCCACTCCCCATTGGTTGAAAAACAATGGTTTACTTCAAATATATGAATCCATTTATTGAGATCCTTCTGCCACTTGCTCTATGTTGCTTGGGCTGTTGCAAGAGTTCAGTTCAGGCTGCGGTTTTGTGCTTACTTCACTCTGGCGCAACAAGCTAAATTCACCACACAGTCCATGAAAGAGTACACAGAAGATGCTTTTACTAAAAACGACTTTTCTGGAACATGTACTGCAAATGAATGTGTAACTGTCTGACTCTGAGTGTGTCCCGGTCGTGCGTAAAGTCAGCTGTGGACATAACAAATGAAGAGTCAGACATTCATTACACACACATAGGTACTGAACGTGCCTATTGTGGGTTTGTGTTCATCGCAGAGGGAACACAACAGGTTTTCATCTGTTCTAATATTTTAACAAGGATTACAAAAGCTGTTTTAGGGACTCCCGGTTTTTTATATTGCACAAAACTGGTCTCAGCAGGAAATGAAGGCTGATACTGCCACCCCTTATGGATGGTGTATTTTCTTACCCAATGGGTTGCGTTCATGTTGGACAATTCTGTTGCAGTGGACGGGCAAGTTAATACAACTTAATGGGAAGTAAGCAATTTTGAAAACAAACGTCTGTTATTATTTGATAGTGATTAGATTGCCAAAGCCGCCATATTATTCTCGCGCATAGGGTTAGGGTTTTGACCGATAGAATTGTTCATGACATACAAGTTGTGAGCCTTTGTGACCGTTTCTTTTTCATGTGGATTGGCTCAGGAATGACTTAGCTCTAACTCTGACTAGAAGTTTGACTTTTGACACTTAACCATAGTTACCGGGACGGATATTTCACTATATCACAATTTAATGTTATGAGCTCTTTTGAATGCATGAACGCAACCTATCCCAATCCTCACCCCTGCGTTTTAACATCATACAATGTGTGCCTCTTGTTAGTCCCAGGTTTACAATACAAACTCTTTAATCAATACAGTTTTAATACTTACCTTTGTAGCCTTCTTTTTGAATACTGTATGATTAAGATAGCTGTGGTCTTAAAATTTTACAGCTACATCTGCAATTACATTACTTGGGTTCTTCAGTAGTGCTTCAACAGGTATCCATCCCACTCCTGGCTCAACTTTTAACCTGTAGCCACTTGTTTCCCGACTCCAGTAAATTCCATAGCTGGACGTGAATGCGAAGGTGATGTCATCTACTGTACCTCCTAACTACTGGTTCTACTTTATTACTATACAACATTTTACTGCAGAAACTAATGAAACATGCTGCTGGACTAAAAAACAAAAACACAATCAAACTGACTACTGTGCCTACTCCACTTCATGGGCTAGACGGACAGCCCCTATGTGCCCCCATGTACCTTCTGTATGTGCTTTAATGGCAGTATGTGATTGTACTCATTCTGTCTGCGGTTTTGAGTTAATGTTACTTTAATATTAAGCTTAATGTTTCACTGGGGGAGGTGCAGCTTCTTCACCGTTAAATTGTGACCAATAAAGAGTAGATCATTTTCACTTGTGTCTTTTGTCCTTGACTTTTACAGATGAATGGATGTTTTGTCGACACTTTAGATTAGCCCTCACTAACTAACAAGTACTTTACTTTACTTTATACTTTATTTAGTGATAATTAGTGTACCCCAACCTAGCCCACATGGGAAAGTGTCAGTACAGTGAATATTCTATTTGGTGGCACGGTGGCTGTGTGGATAGTACTCTTGCTTCTCAGTAAGAAGTTACTGGGCTCAAATCCCAGTTGAAAAATTCCAGTGCAAAATCCCTGAATGGAGTTGACGTGTTCTCCCTTTGTCTGTGTAGGTTTCCTCCAGGTGCACCGGTTTGCCCTACCACTAAAAACATGTACAATATCTGTTTCATGCGCCTCCTGTATACTGGCGTCCCCGCTCTGTGGGGAGTGGGAGACAAAGCGTTTTGGGACTCTGGTTTGTGAAAAGCGTTATATAAATAAACTTACTACTGCTATTTTTTCTGGTTGTTAAATGGGAGCTGTTGAAACACTTTGACTTGTTTTACAAACGTGAACAACAAATGATCGAATAATTATATAACATGTTTATTGAAACATTTGTGGTTTTTACGTTAGATTTAAATAATACAAAAATAATAATTAAAAGTTCTAGTATTTGGAATTCTTAGGTGGACACCAAAAAGGGGCGAGGAGAGCGGTACTTTACTTTGGCACGCGGGGATTTAAAAGGATGAAAGTGAAAGTAAAAAACGTGCATTAAGCATGGATGTATTATATTAAGAGTGAGTGAACGCTAGTGATGGCAATATGAAGCCCCATGAAGCCTTGAGGGATAGCAGCCTATTACTCGGCCCATGAGTCGAAGGCTCAAGGTGAATCATGCTCCACTACGCCATCATGTGGACAAAGAAATACATAACACTCTTAAGTGCTTACAATGAATGGTGAGATCTAATGTTAAAATGTATATTTACAATCTATGGTCTAACGTGTTGTGTTTGAAATGATGCTTCATGAACTATGAACTATTTGAGTCTTTCAGTCAATTGTGTTGATACAACAAACACATCCAAAGTAATACAGTTCTACAGAAAGTGATTAATGGAGGAAAAACTACCAAGAGGTGGATTAATTAAACACAACAAACCATTTATTCCCAATAAATAAATACATTTACTTTGCAACACAAAATTTATTATGGGTAGACCGGGATTCGAACGCTATATCTTCTGCTTCGGAGTCCGTCATATACCGACTGCGCCACACAGCTGTTGTGAAATGTATTATCCAGCGTATTATTACTAATAACTTGAAGCCTTGATATATGAGGTTTTACTAAAGTGAAACGTTTTTAATTGTATTTCATATGAAGTAGTTTCTCTATACTTAGTACAGGACTGCTCCACATCACGCACACACACGTACGCACACACACACACGTATGCACACAGAGGCAGACGGGGACAGCCATACAGTCTATGGTACAGCCGCGGATCACAAAGCACCTGTCAAAGCAATGCACTCTCCGAACTATATGAAGCACTATATGAACCGTCACGTGGTGCGGCCGCTACGCGAGGCTTCGAACGTCACCACACACGTGACCAATACACGCCTCGACCCACACTTCACAAGAAACGCCCCCAGATTACTCGGTCCACGCTTCGAAGACTCGGTCCGCTCAGCACATCACTAGTGAACGCAGCGAGCGGAGGATCAGCAGCAGCTCCTCACGGTCAGTCCTCTTTTTCTACACGTTTGCCTTATCAACAATAGCAGTGCACGTGTTATATTACGTGTAGTTACAAGTAGAAGTAACGCACGTGGATAAATAAGAGGCGTCTACCGATTTTCATGAATACGTTAGGATTTGTGTAACCATGTTTCTGAAATCACAAAACAGGAATCAGAAAATCTTAGTTGACAACGTTGGGTCTTGAATACGGTGAATACTCGAGTAAAATCGTAACTGTGACGAAGTAGTTCTCAGCTTGATCTGTGTATGTAGAATTCATAGTTACCTAATGTAACTTAAGTTCTACGAATAGGTGCGTAGTCCCTTAGGACTTCGCTAGTGGGATATCACTCGTGACCCCCAGGTCCACACGCCAGAGAGATCAAAATAATTTGCTCCAATCTACAGACTGGGAGGTAGCTAAAATAGCGGACTGGGGGTTCTGGCTACTACCGCTGCTCATGGGTGGGGAGCCTGTTTTGGCCATACACTCCAGGTGAAGGGAATTTCTGGTTATCGTTTGTCGCTTTCCGTCCACTTTCGAGCACAAAACAGTGGATTATACTTATATAATTTTTTTCCATTTCTTGTTAAAATGCATCCTATGCAACCAGTTACTGTGTACGTGACTGCCTTGAACACTTAGTGGTGAATCTCACTGCAGATGATGTAGTTACATCAAAGAAAAAAAAAATGTACATAACAACACTCTCTCCGGGATTTCAACCCGGGACCTCTCGCTTCCATAGCGTAATCATATCTCTAACCATCAAGACCACATTATGTATCAAACAACGAGCCACACATATCACCCCCAGAGATTCCATTTTACAATTTGATAATGTGGGCCAATCCACAGCGACATCTAACTTAGCCTCCCAGACGTATGGCTAATTATTTAGAATACTCCAATGAATATTTCTATGTCCTTCAACTTTAGTCTGGGTGTGGTGCTCGGCACGATTTGAACACGACCTCTCGCACCCATCTTATTTGTTTCATTTTGCGTTTACGAGCCTTTTTCTGAATCATAATTTTTTATCTAATAACCTCTCTATACTGTTGTTTGCTTTCTTTTCAGTGCTTGTGCCAGTGATTTTCTCCACGCACTAAACTATTCCTCTGTAGCACTTTCAAGTGAATGTTTTGCGCTCATATTGAATAATCTCTGAGCAATAACATTCTCTTCTGCTAGGCTTTTGGTCTCAATCGAGTCAGACACTTCTCTTGTGTATTTTTTACCTGTGAATTCCTGTTTTCACCCTCGGCCCGAGTCTACTCCGTAGAACATTTTTAACACATAAGTCTTTCATTGCATTCCAACCATATTTCTCATATACAGTCTCCCTGGTGCTTGTATCACTGGACATCTTCTCAACTAACGACCCTTTGTCTCACTTGTTTTTGTTGCTGTATTATACATACCTCTATATCGTGAGGATTTCCAATTAAAGAACAACTCACCCTCAATTCCACTTTTTTGTTGTCCGGATAAAACTTATTAATAATTGCCTTTAGTGTTGTCTCTTTCCTTTTCAGTGATTTTGGACATTTTATCTTACTTTTCTAAATCCAATTTGTTTGTGTACAAAACTACGACTGGTTCTCGCCTCCTCGTTAACAGCAATTTACTACTTTGAATTTAGTGGTTGCAAGGAGGTGCCATCATTCTCACAGTGCCATCATCCGTCACCAATCTACACTTGTAAATTGGCTGTACCCCTACACGAGTGGCCTCGTAAGGGTTGGGGAGTTGAGTTGATAAACGAGCTTTTGTTCACAGATTTATCTTTTTGCGTTATTAAGTTAATAATTAGCCATTAGTTTAGTTTCTTTTTAGTTATTTTGTTCACTTGTTTTTGCACTTTTTGTTTTTTGCGTTAGTGTTGGCTTTTCTTTTTTGGTTTTGTGATTTTTGTTTACGTTAAAGTACTTAGATTGGAGACTTGTTTTTTGGTTTGTTTTTGTGTGTTGGTTGTTTGGTTTGTTTTGAGTTGTTTTGTATGTTTGGTGTGAGGGTTTTAGTCGTAGGGGGTTAATGGGATGGACTGTAGACTTAGATATTGGCAATTTTTAGGAGATTTGATTGAGTTGGTGAACTCTTGCACGACAATGTGTTGTATTCATGGGTCCGGGTTGACTACTACCATAATTAGAGCTTGTATGGGCTTTCTCCAACAGCCGTGTTTAAGAGAGAGCAGTCCCCTACCTGCTCACTCAATCCCTTGGCTACCGGGGGATCGAATCTCACTGGGCAAGTTAAATGCAAAATTTAGCTACTATGGTTTTCAACATTTTTTATTATAACGTGATTTGGGAAGTGAATAATAAAATAAAATTATTTTCTAGGGTGGTTGTTGTTTAATTGTATATTGGTTACTGCATCGTCATTACATCATTCCGTGTATGTAATACCTACTAACTTCTCTTCCGATCCTCACAATACCAAGCCCAATATTTGGACGAGCGCTTTTGCTACTTCCTCAATGGGTCTGGCCATCCGCCACACGCCATTACCTTGGTGAGTTAGCAGCATAGTGACACTCACTTGTTGGTTAGTGGGTTTTTAATAGGAGGAGTGTTTATATACCCTAACGCTCAGTCGCACTACAATATCAATGTTACGCCGCTCGGTCCAACTGGCATTAATACGCACCAACTAAGCTGTTTGTGATTCTGATACTTTTCATTTTTAGAAATACTATGTAACTGTGTCTTCTCAAGCATCTAGACTACAATTTACTGTGTTCTGGGTGCTTAACTTACTACATGTGCATGTCTTTAGATGATTCCATTATCTCAGGATAAATTTTCTGGGACTTTTCGCTATATCTGTTAGCATTTCATATAACATCAATCCAAGTTTAAATTCAGATATTTTTTACCCTTCTTTTTGTATTCTAATAGCAATAGTGTATCTATTTATTCCTTCACACTACTATGCATAATACTGAAGCATAAGTCAGTTAGGTAAGAACTGGCATTTTTTTAACGATATGTAATAGATGATACTGTCTTATATTGTATATCATTCAGGACAATATTTTTATTCAATTTTTTTTTTTTCTGTTTGGTAAATTATACATGGAATTGGCCTGGTCAGTCACTGTGGAACTTCGTCTATTGATTCTGTCCTCCCATGGGATAAACTCCTAAAGCAATTGATATTTGGTGGGTCTTTGGCATATTGTTGCATTGTGTGCTTAAATCTGCAGATGCTTTTACGAATCCTTTTTGTTTTGTACACACCAATGCAATAGTAAATCTCTTCAGTCCATTCTTGCAATAATAGAGCCTTGTTGGAGGTTACATTGCCTTTGCACTACCCATGCAACCTCCTCACCGGGTCAATAGATCCTTTCTGTGTCGCCCTACCCCACGACCATCTGGATGGAAGTCAAGATCCCGAACTGTACTGGTAAAAAAGAATTTAACTTAGATATACTGTAAATTATGTTAACCTAGGTTTTTTTGGGTATTCGTGTATTTTTCTTTTACTTTTTCAGCTTCATGACTAAATTATTATTTTCGTTTGCAATTTATACTACCAAACTATCCACCACTTAAACAATATAATTCATTGTTTTGTGGATATTCTCGGGCTTGCCGTATGATGTCCCTTTGGCACCCGCATTTGTTTAGTTCAGGGGTGACAGCGGACACTCTGCTCCGAGGTGAACACTGTGGTCTCACATGATACTTCAACCTTTGGTCCACCACCTCGTAACTACATTTCCCGCTGGGAACCTACAGCTCTGTGCAGCATTATTTTTACTGGCACTTCTATTGTCAGTTTTCATAGGTTATCAATACTATTTGTTATTATCTTTTCCATATCTAAAGTTGTTACCAGTTTCACGTTTATGTTTCATCAGGCCTTCAACGTCAGGACTGTCCTGTCTGTTTTTTTTAGGCAGCACCATGCTCCCTTCCCAACTGCAAGGCAGGTCACGTGAGGTTGGTACGGTCTTGAGCTGTGCTGTGGCTTTGACACTGGTGAATTGCTGAATTCATACTGGTTTCGGTTCCTCTTCGTCTTCAGATGTGGAATATTGGCTTAATGATTAGTTGTCAGATTTAGACACTCTGCGATATACTCTACTACACTATAATCCTCAAACTCATCGGTAAATTCATTACACTTGTTTTTCATAATCACAACAAAACATTTGCCTCAAAATCATCCACATTGTGGACTATATGTGTGGCAACTATCTATAGATGTTTCCTTTGGTAGTTTTTATGAATATCTTAGTACAAATCAAATTTGTTTTTCATTATGTATTTCTTAATAAAAAATGACAACATCGCTACATACTTTAATGTAACTGTTACTACATAGAAAATTCATGCCCATCCAATTTCCATTGGAAAATAAATTTATAAAGTATTGTATGTCCCATTTGAACTAACACCCAAAGCACCCCCCACCCATTACTTCCTAACAGTTCGATTGGAAGTATAA